TATTTCTTGCCCTCCTAGAGCGAAAATAGCGGAACCCTCTTGTGACATTTTAAAGCCGATGCTTGTGTATTGTACTGTACATTACAGTTGAAAGTTAACCTGGGAATAAGAAATGCTCTTCACACTTTTTCTCTTCCCAGAGAATTCATTTTCATTTCACAAATGTAAAAAAAAACTTTTCCCACAAGAGATTTTCACAGCTACGCGTATTCCTGCATGTGGGAAAAAAAGTGGGAAAACTTGTCAAGCCTTTTCACACAACTGGGAAATTATTTTCCTGCCTTGTGAATGTGAGTGAGTGTAAATGTCAAAGTGAATTCTTTTCACAAAATTTCCCATGCCAATGCAGTGTTAACTGTCAGTTACAATGTACTGTAATGTACGCGTTGTTGACATTAAATGTACATGTACACATACGTTTAATACGTTTAAACAAGTTCTGTATAAAAAAAAGGTATAGTGTTTGCCACCTTTGTCTGGACCATTACTTGACCAAGATCCAAACCTAGCTCAATGGAGTTGTATATTTATGGGAGCTGGTGAGGAAACATGGGAGACACTGTCCTTCTCCCCCCCTCCTAAATTGGAAAAGTTAGAAAGAAATAGAAAAAAAGATAAAAGTGCTAGTTTTCATGAACATGCCTTGTAATTGACCCCCCCTTCCTCCTTTGTTGATGGTTTGCTAATCTGCCGTTTTTGAGGGCTTTCCTTCCCTCGTTCTCTCCCCCTCCCCTGCGGAGAGCTACCGGTATGTCCCTTCTGGATAAAACTACTGGCAACGCCCATGGTAATGGCAGTAAACTTCCTGTGACATTATCTTCTTCTGGCACAGCGTCAGTTTGAAGAAAAACAGGATAGTATGTCGTGTTGAAATTTCTGAGCCGCAATGTGTAATACGGCATGACATCTTTCACTTTCTAGCAATGGGTCTTTGTGGAGATACATGTGGAAGACCACTTCTAAATCTCAAACAGATACATTTCCACCGTCCATTAACTGAAGAGTGCAAAGCTTTTTGATTTTTGGGAGACTGAAGACATCAGGACTTCAGCAATTTCCTTGTAATTTGTGGTTGTTTGACCTCACAGTCTTGAGACTCAAGGACTCAATCCTCAAAGCCTGTGGCGTGGTTTCAGGCAGAGGGTTATATGTTTGAACAATTTTCGGCCATTACTGCCAAACCGATTGCCCTTGTTTCCCAAATGCTCCAGCCCCAATTTATCTGAGAAGGAAACCATTTCTTAGGAAATATGGCGAAAGATTTGCTGAGAACTAGTTCTGCAAAATTCCGTCCAGAATTCTTTGCAGAACTCCACGTTATCACAATGAAATTTCACTGCAACTATATAGCCCAGAATCCTATGAGATCGTCCCTATTGCATTAACCCATATTCCTTGCTAAAATGTGACATTCGTGTACGGTACCCTATCTGCTAACCACTAGCCAGGGTGTGGTGGTTCCGGTATATTAGGTAGAGATTATTCCCCAGCAATAAGAAAAACCGTGAAATTGGAACCAATTTTCACCAGCTCAACTTCCTCTGCTTGGCAACATTATTTGTATATCGGCTCTAAGTGGTATGAAACACCCTTGATGTAACATTAGTTGCCTTCAATCTCACTATTTCTTACAGGTTAAAGAGATTAAACATTGACTCCAGGCACATACTGATCAGTCCTTAACCTATTAAGGCCAAGCTCTATGCAGCAACTGAACCAGCTTCAAGCCAAATCATTCGTAATTTGATTCATCCACAATGCAACCATTAATGACAACCAGAAGGTCTTCCCTGTGATAGCAAAACACAAGGTAAGCTTGACAGTTAGGCATCTGGTAAAAATGGCCATTGGCTTTGAGTGTGAGAGCTACACCCAAATATATTGATGTAATGCAGCCTGCATATGGACACAAGTGCTACTGTGTTAACTCGCAGAAAATGCGATTGTGTTTCTTTCCCCCAGCTGGTTTCTGAGACAGATTTCCCATTCCCATGAGTCATGATTGATGAAGGCATTGGTGTATCTTGACTTCAGTTCATGACGATCACTGATATTTTCCAGGTGTTCAGCTCGGAATGGTTAATTCATGATGTTATTAATTGTAATTCTATAGATTGTGAATCAGAGTGTGCCTTGTATCAAGGCACCCCTTTACTGTGAACTCTGTATCAATGGTGCACAGTCACGATTCTCAAGTGAACCCTGGGGCTTCCTGTTCATACATAGTCAGTGCATGAACTGAAGAAGTTGTCAGTGAAGGACAAAATTTGGCCCCCTTTTTCCCAAATAGCCGTTCTCATTACTAAAATGGGACTTGGTGGGACTCCTTCAGTTAGCAGGCAAGGGTTTAGATTGGAACTTTTTTGGGGGGGGGACTGAAATTATTTGGGGACGAGAACAATCTCGTGGAGAACTGGTTTGCCAAAGCAGTTGTAATAAAATGTAACACAAACGGGCTAATTTCTTGGGAAGAGGGAGATGTAGTTGGGGGAGGGGATTGAGGTAAGACATTAAATAAAAGGAGTTGCATCTCGTCACTGTTCCTGGTTTGCCTTGAGTGATGAATATGCTAGAAAGCCTTTAAAACGGACCTTAGCCCCTATTACCATTCTCTGTTCCTGTGTTGTAACTGATTCCATTTACCAAAACAGGACATCCCAGATCGTAGAGTTATAGCCAACTTCCTCTGGTGTTTTTTTTATCCGCAGAGTTCAAAGGCGAGTTTTGGCAGTGTTGGCTGCTCGGAAAACATCTGGTAGTTTCCGTGTTGTGTCTCATTAAAGAAGAGGAGACTGTCCAGAGAGTAAGAGGGGCCCATCAGGTATGGCGTTAGTCTGGAAGAGATTGCAGAGGGTGGGCAAACGGGCAGCCAAGTTTAAATTTACGGCGTCATTCCATGAACTCATGGTGGAAGTCACTAAGAAATGGTAAGTGGCGCCTTATGTTGTTTGTTGCTTTGTTTGTGTATTTGTTTGTTGGCATGTTTGTCTGTTTGTTTGTTTGTTTTTGCTTTTAGAATTTTTGACATTTTCCAAATTTTTGGGGGTAATCTAACCCACCTGTTTTTTTGGTGGTCAAATTAGTACTGATCTGAGTTTTCTATTGCTCCATTTATCCCAAAAGCATAATGAGATAAATTAAAATCACAACAGAAGTGGTCTCCACAAATTGAAAACAGAATTACCTGTTCATAGTTTGATTTAGGACTACCAGCCTTGATTAAGCAGAATGCCGAACTTAGTACAGATTATGTAAACAAATGTAAACTTCAGACAATCTAGCAGGGCGTTACTTTTTCCCTAATATGCCCACTGCAGAGAAGTATACATTTAGATTTACACCTACAGAAACGATTTTCTTGTAAATCTAATAATTTGTGTACATGTAGGTCCTGGGAGTCCCAGTCAACACAGTGACATCAGGGTTTTTTACCGTGGAAAAAAAGACAAGGACAAGGAAGTTGTAAAAGAAGGAAGGAAGCTTCACAGCTCACCCAATGTACACTTGCATTTGCTTCACAACTCACCCAACGTACACTTGCATTTGTGGGGAAATCCATACCATACTTGTACCGATAGTTGTTGTGAAAGTCTGTGGGGCTGTTGGACCAGAGATATCTGTGGCTGTTTCTTGGTTAGCTGCGGCAAAGAGTCCTTAAATGTATTTACTTGGAAATTTTTCCTTCCTGATTTGCCATGATTTTCATTCACTTTCAGTTCTTCATTGCGCCATTCGAGCAAAATAGTGATACCAGGAGATCCATAATGCTTAGCTTTAGGGATCAACCGATGTTGGTTTTAACTGCCGATACGATGTCCAATGTTTTAATCAGAACATCGGCCGCTGTCCGATCTGATCCGATGTTGTACTGACAGTAACTGAAACCGCAACCTGAACAGCACGTAGGCCTATTTCTAATATTCTTAACACAGTGTACCTCCTTCAAGTGTCTGTTTACACATTAATATGATTAGCTTTTCCTTTATTGTCACTGAGTTGAGAGAATAAATTGTGTACATGTACATCATATGGCCTTCGTACGTTACCTACAGTGCTCCGCCGTTGTATTCATGCATACATGTACATGTACATGTAGAAGAGACACATGTACACAGCACCTTGGGCTGAATCATAGGTAGCCTTTAGTCAAGGTGTGCATGGCACCGGTGCACAATGCTCGGCTTGTGGTTCCCTCCCCTGCATTGGTGTGCATCATTGGTGCAGGTAGTCACACGTGTCTTGAGTAAAGGCTAAATCGCGGGCTACCTTCAGACCAGTCACACAACACCTTGTGATGCCACATACCGTGTAGTTCCCTGGTTCTTTTCATGGCGATCAATGGAAACAGTACACATGTACACTGACTGTTCCTTGGGGCCGCGGTCCGTGCATTGAGTTGTTGCGGCACGGATCGCGCAAATGTAATTTTCGGGAATACTTTAGATGGGTTAATCTATGGTGTAACTGTTCATTTATCTCGTCAAATGAAAAAGCCTCAGTTTTTATTCATACCAAAAAAAAATTGAAATTTGTGCTTGTCAAAACTGAGCGCAGAGTTTGTTCCTTTCTTTACTTTAACATCAGCACTCATATCAGCAAGGAAGGTCAACTTTGCCAATGTGATGTTTTGCCAATGTTGCTGAACATCAGCCCGATCCAGTGTCTGATTCGATCATCGGTTGATCCCTACTTAGCTTTTAAAACAGACACAATTTTTCCATGTTGGTTTCACAAAATTTCACTGTTGAGTGCATTGCACCTACATAATTTAAAAAGCGCTATATAGATTTGTCAGATGTAGAAAAGAACTGATGCTTGATCTGCTGTCATTTTATATGTAAGGGACATACATGTAAGCTGCCATCTTTACTTACAATTAACCACTCGACTCTGGATGACGTGTAAACCCACATTATTTTCCTTATTTGTTCCACGGAAGATGTGTACACTCATTTAAGAATTCTTGTCTCATTCTGCGGTTGACATACATGTATTAATGCGTCGTGCTTGGTTGGGTCAAAGTGCAATTACAAGGCTGAAGAATCGGCGCGTAACAGAACCCGCTCCAGCAGCTTTTTCGGGTAAGAAAGTCCGATGTTAACGGGCCATAGCACAATCTGTTTAATATCCGTCATCGCTTGATTTTCAAAGTATATGCAGTTCACTGCTTGATTTGTTCCAGGCTGACTGAATGTTGGAAGTTGGCACCCACTCTTGAAGAAGTAAACTGAACCAATCTGATGTTGATGCTAGTGCATGCAGTTCAGCATGCGTTTATTCATTGCTCATTTAGCATTTGGTTGGGATAGGCTACAAGAGTTTCTCGATTTATTTCCAGTGGTGTGCCTCTGTGATGGAGACCTGTAGGGATAAGGCAGTGAAGACATACATGTATTAGAGGTGGGAGGAAGATCCTAGCCATATATTCCAGGCAAAATCCCTTGGAATCTGGGAGAAACTGAAAAACCAATCCACCTGCCCACCTAGATAGGGGTGGCAAATGGCAAAGAAGGTACCAATGTGTCAACCTGACTCCTTGGGTTTTGTGACTCATGGAAGATTAAACCCAAGCAACTGCAACAACACCTTAAACGATCGTCCTCATTCAGGACTGTTAAATGTAACCCAACTGTGCCGGGTTTTGTGGCATCAAAATCAAAGTAAAGTCAACATGTGCATGAACATGAAGGAAATGATTGATCTACAAAATTGTTAGTACTCTCAGGCCTGTAATTGCACATTGGCTACAGAGATCAAGGTCTCTGGAGACCACGGGTAGCCTTGGTGCCTACTTGAAGCGAAAGATCCATGACCTTGCCCCTTCAGAACGGAAATTCCAGGTCACAGTGCAGTCTGGTTACTCAGGCCTGACTCAACCCCTTGACTGTGGCCTCTTGACACCTGGCCTGCCTGCAGGGGATGTTTTCTGGAGGGGAGATGGGAAGGGTTGGCTACTATCTCCCCTTCATCTTTGTCGGCAAAAGAGTCTTTCTTTTCAGCAGATTTATGGAACTGATGGCAGAAGAAAATGTCTTGCTAACAGTGTATACTGCCCATTGTCGGGTACAGTTCAGTACCACCTGTTTTAACAGGGCTCCCCGGTGTTAGATGGTACCACTGTTGTCTACCGGTTGTTACTTTATATGTCAAGGGACCAGCTTACAAGGGAGTTAACATACATGTAGGACGGAGTTTGTTAGCCGCCGCCAATAAAATGAGTGAAGGAGGCTCACTTGGACTTGACTATGGTTATGGTTGAGATCAGTCTCTTGTCACAGCTTAGAAGTGTATTTATGGCTTAGAGGTGCACTCTTCTCGCACTGTAATGCACTTCCTCTAGTACACGTAGGCACATGGCCTCATGTAACATCAACAGACCGCTCCACTCATCAAAGACAAGCTGGGCAATTTTCACTTAGTGGGACTTTGAAAGCTGGAGAAATTCTGGGTTGCTTGTAGGCAATATTTGAAAAATGTTGAAAGGCACCTTAATTGAGCCCATGACGTAATTAAAGTGTAAAAAATGCTTACTCACTGCTAAAAGGGCAAAGAGTCGAAGCATTATTGACTATGGCATTATTGCTTTGAAAGTAAATTTTGACCACGGAAGTGTCATGCTGCCCTCTAGAGGCAGACTTAATATTGATACCACTAGGTCTTTGAAGAATGATCTTTCGTTTGTTACTGAAAGTTAATTTGCATGTGGAATTTAGCATCAATGTGTGCAGAAATTTCAGCCTTGGTTGGCCTTTTTGATCAAATTGGCATGTACAGTAGTGTCACAGTGCTTCTGGCATGTCTGGCAGCGGCATCCTCTTGTTGGTATGTTGGTAATCATACACCGCAAAAAGTTTTTTGTTGGAGGCCTATAGCTTGCCAAGTTCTTGTGTTTGGCAGGAAGTGCAACTGTGATATTCCGGTAACAAAAGAAAGGCCTACATGTACATGGACAAACAGAAAATGTGTCATGGATCCAGGAGCATATGCGAAACTTTTATTTTGTCCCCAGCAGTGGCTTTTTAATCACTGGCTTCATGATTTGTAGGCTCCTGGCTTTGGCAGCTCTGACCAGATGTTGGTCCACAAGCAGTATGCATTCCTACATTGTGAAGAGAGAGTTTGGAGTCATTGCACAGGGTTTAAAGATAAAAGACTCACATAAACTTCAGGTACAAAAGGTTCCCATGCCAGAGGCAACACTGTACTGATTCTGTGTGTAAGAAATGGCCAAGGCATCAACTGTAGAAGTGTGAGAGCGCCCTCATTTGTCAGGCTTTGTCCAGTTTACTACATGCATTTGGATATCAATGGATACATACATGTACATGTATCTTTGAAGATACCAGTACACCTTAAGCATAGTTCCTTGTTGGTGCATATCCTTTGTAACTAATTTTGTTGTAGGGAAGTGGTTTGCATTAAATTTTCCTTTGCCACAACCCTTTTCTCGAACGGACCAGTGTCACGTTTCCTCATAATGAAATTCACAACTAACATAGCAGTTGAACAGTTTTTGTGCAGATGGTAAACTCCTTGATACGTGTATTTAGCACCAAGCGTGTAGAAGGAATAGAAGAAAGGATGGAGGTTTTTTACTGTTAATAATGTTATGACCAGGGCTTCTTGTAATTCCGTAATCCAAGGTTGAGCCCAGCAAATCCCCTGTTGTTCATTTGAACTCTGCAATTAGAGCATGTTTCATTCTCCTGAACTTTATGGCCCCAGCTTTACCATTTAACAGTGTTAACTCCAAAGAGATTCAATGAAGGGGTCTGCCAATTATGTACTGAGGGCAAGCCGTCTGAACAGTACTTGTGCATGTACGCAAGCCACAAGCAAAAACCATAGGCTTGGCTCCAGCAAGGCAGTGATCGCATTCATAACCCACAAGGAAATGCTTCACACACAAAAAGACCCAATTTTCTCTGGTGTAACCTCCCCCCCTTCAGCCCTCCTGGAAATTAATTTGCAGTACACTGTGTAGCGGCTATTGTGATGTCAGTTTCCATTCATCTGCCCTGGTGCATGTAGTTACCCAGGACAAAAGCCTCATTTGTTATTTTAGATTAAGGGGCTCTTAAAAGTGCCTCCATGGCAGAGTGCTTGACCATACAGCTGTACATACCACAGTTAGAGGATGTCAGCATTTGTGAGAGTGTTACTTCTGTGGACTGTCTTCTTGAGAGAGAAGTCCATGTTATCTGTTTCTAGCCCCTCCCCCCACAAGGCCAGTTAATTTCCACACACTTCTTGAAGTTGAAATGCCACAACAGAAATTGGAAATAGACTGCTCTTAATGGTTAGTTTTTGAACTCAATAAAGGCATAAGATAACGTAGCTAGAGATGTTCCGCATGGACTTGTACATGTATAATCATGGGATAAGTGTTCATGTTCTTGCTTCAACAAACAATTTTTTTCACAGAAGACACCACATAAACTCATGTAGAACTTTTTTCACATTTAAACCAATCCCTTGTGAGACAACCTTGTAATCACTGATGTGAATTAGACACAAAAAAAAAGGAACTTTCAGTTGTGTCTTAGCATTGATTTGAATGTTCACTTACAAGTGCATTATGAAGTGCAGTGTGTAAAACTGTATACACGTATCAGTGTAAATAACTGTGTCAAATAAAACATCTGCAACATTTCACATTTGAGATCATTTTTTTATTGAAAGAATGAAGCATATTGTTAATGTACATTGCATTTATAATTCAGTTTTAAGAAAAGAACACTGTACATTGCATTTAAAAGGAGTGCAGCCATTGCTACTGGTGTTATAAGTATTTTGGACAGAACTTTCTGTGACTAATTTTTGCATTTGGAGGACTGTGCTAACAAGTGACCAATGGTGTTCAGTTATTTTTCGCACCCCTGACTAAATGACCACAGCGGGTTAGAGCCATGCATGGTAGATCAGACATTCAGGCGTTTAAGCCAGCACTTGTCAGACATGAAACCTGATTAATTCCGTTTCAGTTTACCTCAAGCCAAGACAAAAAGTCAAGGCATCACCCCGGCATTGTGAGGCCCGCAAGCCCATTTCACAGGCCGAGACTCCGAACAATTACATCCAATTTGGAGTGCTGTTGAGGATTTGTTTGAAGGGAAAAAGAGAAGAGAAACGAACAAAAAAAGCCAGGTCAAGAATTGAACGTACATACGAGTACGCACATGTAGCCAATGCTAGAAGCCGTTGGGTAGGGTGAATGGGACTCACATATAACCAAGTGTTCCTGTCCGCCAAGAATGAAGCCAGGACAAGGCCCTACCGCAACAAAAGCCGCCAGTTACAAGCCCATTGTGGCAAATGACCTTTATCCACCATCCCTATTCAAAACGGCCTTCAAACTTCTGCCCAACCACAAACGCTGTGCATGCGTTCATGACGCTTTGCAGCATTCACTATCCCCCATCCCCCACTCCTGCTTCCCCCCCCCCCCGTCGAAGAAAGCGGGAGCTTTTTTCACCCAGGGCTATTTTTACACCAGCCTTTTTTGTTGATGGTCCCCACCGAGCATATGTTTTGGTAGGGCCTTTCTGGTCAATGTGGAAATTGTGGAGTATATAAAGAGTTGGGCACGTATGTAGGGGCATTTTTTTCCCTTGTTTCCAAATGAAAAGGAACTGGGAAGAAAAAAAGAAGAAGTGTGTGGCTCCAGGCTGCCAGTGTGCCCTCTCCACCATCGCTCACTCTCGTAATAATTTCAAAGAGGGAAGGTTAAAGAAACAGTTGAAATAATGACTTGACAAGTATGGTTACTCCCAACCTTAAGGATAATGCAGCCTTATGACAACACAGGGCTATACTGACAGTGATTTGACATGACATTTTGAGGCGAAAAACCTGTAGAACTGGCCATTGACATCATAAGTATCATGCCACTGCACACTGCATGCGAGTCTTGTCATTGGTGCCGCTTTTCCCGGTGCAGGATTCAATTTTAAAATTTCCTCAGGAGGAACCACGTGCAGTCACATGCCCTCATGCTTTGTTGCATGAAGGTCAAAAAGTAGAAGCCATGGCTGTGACTGAAATCCATGGCTAAGACTTTCAAAAACACCGGAGACTATGAAAAATAGATTCATCTGTAAGTCAGGGGCTTCCAATGCAGTGTGTGCTATTGCCGTAGCCAAAGCCAAGCCAAATTATTCAGATGAGGCCATAGTTCAAATCTCTGGGTTTGATGCAGGTTCACCCAAGAATTCTAAGATAGCCTTCAAAGACCCTGCTTAAATGATAATTCAGGAACACGTTTTAGGACTCGGACGTACATACTCTGATGTATACAGGTATCAACATGCACCGTAGTGCATGACTTGAATTGGCTTTCTTGTATGTTGGTTGTTATTATTTAGGAATTGGAAGATGTTTAACCTAAAAAAAAAAAGAATTCTCTTTGAATAATCATGACAAATTTGTCGGATTAGGAGATGAGTGCACATACTGGCACATTGATGGAGTGCCCTGAACCTTAATTTATTGCCAGCATGCTTTTGTACAGTGCTCAGTGCCAGTGTGATCAAGTGAGAATGAAAAATCCCTATTGTCACTGCATCTGTTCACCCACCTGTATCAAGAATGGCCGTGTACTGCCCCTGTTAATTGCACCCACCAACTTGTACCTCTTTGCAGCCCGTCTTTCTCCTCTTGATTCACTTCACCTTTTCTTGGGTACATAATCTCACCTAATTGAACTCCCCATTCTGCCAAGGATTGCAACCACACCGCCTTGTGTACAGGTACCTCGCCAACCTAAATCCAAAGTCATTTGTTCCTCAACTGGTGAGATTGTACCCTTCGCTCCCTTGATTATGCCATTATATCCACCTTCTTATGCAGTGGATTGTGATGTTGCCTTTCAAAATTCCGCTTCTAAAGTAGAGTTGCCCCAAACATCCTTGTTGTGTTTTTCTTCTTAATTCTAATGCTATTCTCTGTGATTTTCTTTTTTTATGGAGGGATTAAAAGTTGTCTTTTCTGCTCTCGATACAGCTTAGGTTTTCTGCTCAGACTTAATCTTTTGATTTAATAGATATCAGAGTTTGAATGTCGAGTGATGTAGATGTAGAAGGTAATTTAATCAAAGACAGGTTTTTCTTTTCTAACGGGGAGGTAATTTTATGAGAGTTTTTTGACAAGCAACTTGCCAAAAAGCAACCATCCCACATTATCCGAAATTGGCTTGAAGTTGAACATGTATCTTTTAGAGGAATGGAAACTACATCCCACATAAGCTGCCAGTCCTTTGTTTGCATCCTGCCTAGCAAACAACAATTACTTAGGATGCTCACTCAGTTCTACCATTTCTTGAAAAGTCGATTCCTGTTGATAACCCAACCTAATGAAATGAATCCTAAAGGAGCAAAATCCGTTTGAAATGAAAGATCTTCAAAAGAATCTCGTCAAAAGAATCTCACACAGTGTAAATCATACGGGACCTTCCACATATTTCCATCCACATAATGTCTGTTTCTTTGTCAAGATTCCAAGCAAGATGATGCATCAAAATAGAGGTCAGTCAGCTCTTTCTGAGGCAAGCTAAAACAGAAAAGATGAAAACAGCCTTTACCCTCAATCCTCCAATAGTCAGATGTCAGAGAGTTGAGGGCAACTCATTGTGTGAGATCTCCCGATCTGATCACATTTGTAACATCCGTGTATGCTGCCCTTCTTCTGCTGTGCTTTTTTCTATTCCTCGTCACTCCTTGCTCTGATGAGTGATGACGCTCGCATCACTTGGATGTTTGTTTAAGTAGAGTTTGGATTTTTTTAATGGAATAAGTGCATTTCTAAAGTTTTGTTTTTAGTACATGTAGGTTTACACAGTTTGTGTTTCTGTGCAGCCACTGTGTGTAGGAATGAAGTACATGTTCATGTACAAGTCTAGTGTACCAAGTGATACCAAAATATCTTAGAAGAAAAAGAAACCTGGTTTACATGTACATGTACCTGTATGATATCATAATTCTTTAGCCAACAGAATTATATTGCATCGAGTTATGCTTCTTTGTAAGGACCGGTCTCACTTGTACATGTACATGTACCCATAGCTGCACTGGTGTATTGAACACTGAAATAAGGTTCATAACTTCAATTTCATTCTAGCAAGATATATGGCAAAGCCAAATGTGTCCTACGTTAAGAAGTCTAACAGGCTTCCTCTTGCTACAAAAGATGATGACGCATACCCAGGGGATAAAAAAGCTTTCCGAAATCCCTTTTGTTGCTTTGAGGTTTAAACTGGCCACGAAATCTGCAAAGCCAGTATCACTGTTATTGAAAAAAATACCCACAGAACATGGAAACTGAATTTGCCTTTGTAGGATTATTGTAACTGTCTTGTGGCTAGCCATCTCTGAAGGGATTAGCACCTTGTAGTTTCGGACGCTGCCTGTCATTTTAGCTCTTCTCCCAATCAGTTGAGAGTCTGTATGTTGGTCGGTGGAAAGCTGGGAACAGATGTAATGATTCTTATGTTCTGCACTGAAATTCTAGTGTTGCAGCATTACATATGCATGTGGCACATAATTAAGCCCAATCTTTACAGCTTAAAAGTACAAATTTGGCTGCTTCACCATCAACCCTCCCCCATTCAAAATTTCTCGACCCTCTCATGATTACCACTGTTACATTCCTTTAAAAAAGTTCACTTAAGTGGGAGTGTTAGCCCCTGCCGAAAGGGGCTGGTCCAGAACCATGTTTTATGCACATATCATGAATGTCATTCACATTTGAACTTCTAAACCTTTCTTTTTTTTGAAGTGTTGACAATGAGGTGCGACCCAAGGTGGACCAAGCTGTAAACGTCGTAGAAGTGCTTTACACTTTTAAAGGCAGTCTTGAATTTCTGTCCAATATTGGGTCAGCTGTGGCATAGCTTTTGTCGGCCCAAGTTCTTTTTTCTTTCCCTGGGTAAAAAGCAAAGAATTGTAGTGACCAGTTCCTCCAAATATTTGCCGTCCAAACGGACCCCTTCTTAAAATGTCAGCAATCTGGATACATGTATCGTATTGCACTCATTCAAGTTGTGCCGCCCGCCTTTGTGGTTATCTGGGCCATGGTGGTTGGGAGGTAATATGAGAAAGTGGGTTTGTGGCACCGTGGCCCCCCAAAAAGAAAAACTTTTCTTCAGTTGTATGTAACTCACGCACGCACACAAACACTTGCAGTTGTGCTGAAGGGTCGGCAAAGTAAGTGAAAGGCATGTTATCGTTAAGAAAGGTGCCTGGGAGCTCGTCGAGGTGTGAGCTATTCAGGCTTTCTGTGTTTGTAACGCCAACAGGGTACGAGAATCTCTATTCAAAGGTGTCAGAGTGAACACAAGGGGGCAAGAAAGGTGTAGCCGGGCTTGTCACGCTCTTGTTCTCTGGGCCTTTCTTGGCCCCGCACTGCCGTTATTTACATATGGATGGTTAGGTTGAACACCTGTGTTTACTTATGCACAGGGAACAGAGGCTTGGTTGAAGGGAAGTCGGGGAGGGGAGGGGGGGAGAAAGAGGGGGAGAGGTGGAGAGCGAAGTTCCCTAAAAATTGCTGTGTGTCACGGGGGAGAAAGCCACAGACCAACTTGGCACAATGGCGGTGCTCTGGGAACCCCTGGCACTCAGGGGCTGTACCCTTGTACCCTTCTGCCTTTGCCGGGGGCATCATTTGCATGCGCGGTCGATTCCCAATAAAATGGCGTAGCGACTCACAAGCTAATGAAGATAGACCACTTCACGGCTTGGGCTCGGTAATTGACTAGTGTAACCGCTGCGGGCCTACTGGAGGGGTCTGGTACCCGCAGGGCCGGCAGTCTTTAAGAAAGGAAAGCGAATGGAGAGAAAGGAAAATAAAGGAATACAAAAGTGAACATTCTGTTCTTGTGCTAGTCTGATCTTGAATAGGGAAACAGTCTCTTACACGAGCTCAGTACAGTGGGTCCTTTCACTGTTTCCAGTCTTTTGAAAAGATCTCCACTGCTCCCCCCCCCCGCCATTCTGAAAAAGTTTGGTGAACCTCTTCATATTGTGTCCCAAGGCAGTTTATGCACAAGTGGCTACTAAGCACAAGCCCAAAACACAGATCCGAAGATGGAAACAGCAGTTCAGTTCAGGACAGATTTCAGTGCGCTTGATCATTCAGTACTTGTAAATTTAGGTTTCGATTTGCAGATGAGACCAAACATTTTCCAAGGTTCTGAGGCTCATTTCATTGTGAAAGTATGGACTTTTCAAAGTGTTGGTTTTTTTTAAAAAGTATTCTTAAATATAATGTGCAAACCCACCTGCATTGCAATTGCTTTTAGTGTAAACACGCCAGCACCAGTCTGTTTTGTACTTGGTATCATTTTTCTTTCATAATCCGCAACACATATTTGCTTTCTCTTGCACTTGGCTTTTCCTTTCCACTTTGAAATATTGAAGGGAATAAATCCCATGTAAAATAACAGTGAATTTGTTTTATTTTTGACAATCTTGAAAACTTCCTCCCAGGTGGATTGTGAAAGATATACTAGGGGAGTGTGTAGGACGTCAGGAATTCAATCATTTGGGAATTTTTCTGGCAGTCATTGTAGGATTTATATTCCAGGTGATATATTGCATTACTTGGTGATATCAGAGTAATGATTCTGTACATTTCTCCAGGGAAGTTTTGGAATTTTTGCATTTCAATTTGCAATTAACTGATGTTTCAGCATGTAACTTACTGTATGAAAGTTGAATTTGTTGAAATTTCAAATAACTTCTTGGCCATGGTTCTTAAAGGCAATAAACTGTATCATTCTCAAACACTTCTATCATCACAAGCATATTTCACAGTTTGCTCAAATTTTTTCCACATGACCGGGTTTTCCTACAGATGACAGAGAAGTTTTTACACAAACTCGGGGTGAAGTTTCTTTTCAGCACAAAATGGTAGCCGTGCCTTAAAGAATTCTTGATTCATCAGTGAGCATATTCTGTACACATTAAGAATCCTCCATACTGATGTGAAGGCTCTAATGAAAAATGAATGGCAGAATTAAATGAATCGCAGCAAACTGTGCAAGTACGCATGCAGTACTATCAATAACTAAAAGGATAATGTTCTTTACAGTGCATCTTGTGATTTTTTGTCCTGATCATAGCAGAGAATAAGCATTGTTTTGTCATTGATGTTGTCTTGAAAACCCCTGTCATCAGTTTTTAATAATTGGAAGTTTGTTAGTTGTGCGTCCAATGTGCTGATTTTGACTGAACACAAAACCGTGTTATAACCAAAGAACTCTATACAGTAGGGTCTACATGTAATTCTGGCTGAACTAAAATCTGTCCTGAACTCTTTTATTTCTTTGCATCTCCAGGCAGCCCGACAAACTCTGCATACACTGGACAAGACGGGGGAGAAAAAAGTCCACAGAGGTAAAAGAAAGTTTCTCCCATCCCACAAGCTTTTCCAACCCAAACAAAAATAATGTTTTATTTTTGTAAGTTTCACGTGTTAATTGTATTTTGGAGAAAAAAAACACTTTTGTTAATTTTGAAAAAAGTTGCACTTGGTTACCTTCAAAATTATTTTAAGCACGTTCTGCCTAGACAGAGATGAATAGAAATAATCCGGATATAAAATTTGAATTTTTTCATCAATTTTTTTTACAACAGTGAGTTTGCTTTGATTGTGGTTGAGGAGTAGCAGTTCTGTAGAATCCCTTTAAAATCATTTTCCTCCAGATTAAATTGTAGTTAAAATATACTTCATTCTTACAGCTACACCAGTGGGTTCCTGGAATCAAAGATCCCTATCGAGGCACCATAGTATGGACAGTACCTGAGAATGTAGAAATGACATGCACACTATTCAAGGTAAGGATTATTCGCTGTGACTGTTGTAATGTGTAACATGGCTTTAGAATGGATAAACATCAGAGGCTTTTTGGTAGAAAGTAATAGATTTGGTTAAATAAAGAATAACTGATTCAGATAAGGGTTGGACATTTACACATTGGACGTTTTGATTGACACAACCTGGCGTTCAGTTTTTATTGTAAACAATGCCTGTCAAATATAATCTGATTTTTGGAACACTTGACTGCTCGGTCATATCAAAGGAATACCATGAATTCATCACCGGAACTTTGTGTCAACTTTTTACATTGTATACAATTTGTTGTGTTCAACGTTTTGAATGACACCGTTTTAGGGGTGGGACGTTGACACATTTAAACGGTATCGGAAACTTTTCTAAACTGTTTTCAAATTAAACGTAAAGTCCCACCCTTAGATTGAAACTAGGAAGACTAATAAAGTTGGTGTTGAAAAAAGTTCCAGAATATGTTGTCGTACCCAAAGAATAAAGATTATTTGGCGCCACACTAGATTACCATAGGTGCATGCATGGAAACTGTTTTTAGCAGTAGCAAGTTGTTGATATACATGTATATATGTAACGCAAATGTAGCAGAGTTCCATGTTTGTATGCAGTTCATAGTTACACGTGCACCTGTAGAAATTACACTCAACTACAAGGCCCAATGGCGCTGGAAAGCACACGATTTTACACTGACAGAGGCTCCACATATTTCATGGAGACCGTAAGCACCAAGCACAGCCAAAAGGTGCGCTTACCTCAGAGGAAAAATTTGCTCAGACTGGTTTCGTAATGACGGAAATCTCCATAGGAGTGAAACTGGGAGGATAACCACACCATGAAATATTGCTTCAGGTTAGCAAAATATCATGCTGTAATAAGCACAGCTCTTCTGCCAGTAGACAGTGTCATGAAATTGGGCCCAGAACAGAGACTTCACGCACCCCTTCCAGAAGTGTGCCTGAAGTAACCCATCCATAACCGAATCAGGTTTCTCATCTTATATTTGTTTATTTCCACAGGAGAACAGACCTGATGCACCCTTCGAAGACAAGGAATGGACATTTATTGTAGAAGACGTAAGTTGGCGCGTAGCTACATTTTGAAGTTTTTTGAAGTGCACATTTATGTCCTTTCTGTTTCTCTAATGGCTGTGTTTGGGATATGTGGCATAGTAGGTTGGATTCTGGACTTTCGAGAGTACATGTACCCGTAGGTTTGGGGTGGTAATCCAGCAGGTGGTTACCAATTAGTCACACTTGTAGCAACCTTCAGCAAATTAGTTCCCCCCCCCACTTGCCTTTCACCACCCAAGAGTACAAGTGGATGCCTGTGAAGGTTGTGGCCAGATGTGGAGTGACATCAGCTCTCAGAATTGGGCTTGTGGGGGGTAATAACTGCGCTGTCACCTTGAGCAACATTAGCACTGGATCTGTGCACTTTATAACTGTTCATTATTATCATTAATGTGGGTTAAACTGCATACCCCTCCAAAGTGCTCCATCAATGTGCTCCTATCCTTCACACCCTGCCGCTATGAATACCAGGATGATGATTATTGACGTAGATTACCTACATTGTACACCCCCCTACATTTGTTCAGCAGTGCTTATGTTTTTCATTGATTCTCCCCTCCCCCCCACATTCCAGGGGAGTCCATCAACAGCTTCTCTCGAGTCATGTATTATATTATCCATATATGTTTATGATGTCACTCAGTGTGGAATTAAAAACAAAAATTGTTTCCTGATCTTGAATCTGAAAAATTTCTTGTAAGATGCTGTGTTTAGGTGTTTGTAACATGCCTTTAAGACACGGTGATAGATTATTTTTGATAACAACTATCCATATTCAGCTATTGGTTGTGCATTCATCCTGTAAATTTCCAGTTTGGGGGAGAAATGGGCCAAGTCTGAGTGCTAAAGTGAGCAGAGACATCATACCCCAGTTCATCGTTTGCGACACAGTAAAATTTGCAAAATGGCTTAAGTATTTTGGTTACCTGTGCTCATGGCAAGTTCTTGGCCGTTGATATTTGTGAATGCTTGTGAGCATGTGAAAAGACCATGTTCAACATGGCTGAGGCTCAGTTTGGAAACGTTCCTGAACGCGTAGCATGTTGAAGATTATTTAATATAACTTTGGCCAATCATCACTCGTGATATGAATTATGCATATCCTACCATTATTACCTCTTGCCGGTCCTGATCAAACAAATACCCAAGACCTTCCTGTGATGTGATTTATCCAGTGATGCTTTGTGTCGTGGAAAGAACTACTGGAAGGTCTTGGAACCAAGATTGCCTCCACCGGGACTTTTCACTATGTACGTATTGGTCATTCCTCCCACCACAGGAAGCCAAGAAGGGCAAGCACCGTGCCCTCTGCCAGATCACCATCAACATGAAGGACTTTGCCAGTTTGGTGCCCACCCAGGAGCAGCGGAAGTTCACCCTGCGGCCCATCAGCAAGAAATGCATCTCGGCCACCATGACACTCACCATCTCCTGCATGCTGCTCAGGGAGGGCTCGGCCACGTAAGTCCATGATCACGTCCAGGGTCAGATTATCCATCAGGCAAAGTAGGCTGTGCATCCAGGGCCTATGAACAGTTTCGGAATGCTGCGAAAAATTTAAAATTTTGCTCTTTGAATTTTCAGAAAGCTTCAAACTACAGTCAAGAAATATCTTAGAAGCTCAGTGCAGCTTTGTTTCAACATGAAATATGAGGTTCCAGTGTTTGCTGACGCTATGAATTCGCACTGGTGCCTAAGTCAGAGTAGGACTTACAGGAAACTGGTTCCTTAGGTCTTCGAAATGCCTAATCTGGCTCTGATAGCGTCATCCCAGTGCCTCGCTGGTTTTGGTCATCAACATGCTCTGAAATTGCAGACAGCAGTGCTTATTTCCATATGCTCAAGTACCCACTCGATTTGAACAAATTAAAAGCCTGAAACATTTGTGATAAAGGGGGTCCACAAGGTGTGAGAAGTTCTGTTTGGGCTTTGTCAGGTGGAAGGCTAAAGAGGAATGCTTGTTACAAGCTTTTAGGAGGAAGCAAAATGAAATTGTCTCCGGAATTGTCTTTCCCGTTCCACTTTCCAAATCAGCTAAATTGTCTTGTTGCAAAATTTACCGTAGTTGTCACTCGAAACGGGCCACTACTTCACACATAATTGCTTTGGGGATGTAGCATGGTACATGTAGGAATGTTGAAGGAAATTTCTTTTTGACTGGCATTCGTCAAATTCTCTGAAGAGTCTTTTCCCTTCTCACAAATTTATAGAGAGTGAGCAAGAGCAGGCCATGAAAAATAAGCATAGTGCATTGAACCACTTTCCTTTGAAGTTTTCTCCTTGATGTTTATAATTTTAATGCCTATCAACAAATTAAAGAAACACATTCCACTATTGTAAAAAAAAATCTTGGGTTGAAACATTTTTCATCTCTCTACATTAGTTTTCAATTTATTTTTATCTTTTTTATATTTTTGTGTTAATTTTTCAGCAATTGGGATTGAGAAATTACATCTGATGCCCCAGTCTTTTGGAGTTCATGTTCAAAAATTCTTCACAGAAGTTTGAAAATATCTCTGATTTCCTCAAACATAATTTTTTTCAAAATGGTGGCAATATGAAAAAATTCTAGTGGGACACTTTGTCAGGGTTTAATTGTCACAATGATCCACCAATCAAGTGGTCGTTCTTTTAATGTTCATTGTTGGGCGACCTAGGAGCTGTCCTTGGGGTCAGCCGCCCAGGGACAAGAGCGCTTTGTGTCTGCCCGCCAAAAGTGCATCCCCAAGACAACGCCGAAAAAAGCCCTTGCCGCGTGCCAACCGCTCAAATCCCCCACGATTTGAGCTGAGTTTGTACGTAGATGACCTTGTCATTACTTAACAGCTTAGAACCCTTAGAACCAGTGGTCTAGAGGGAGAGAAAAGAATCGTTGGAACATGAGCATTTCTATTTAACTTACTTGGGCCATTCATGGGACTGTGCTACAAAATGAATACAATGGAGGGGATTGGGACCAGGGAAGGCTGTACATTGTAATGATGCGTCATACGCAAGGATACCGGGAACTAAATCCTCATGCAGTTGCTTGCAGAAATGTTTGAATTATATGTATTCTTAGGACAAGCTTGTTGCTGTGCATTTTATGTGTACTTCTCTCTCCTGTGTTTTTGGTACATAAATATTGATATGAATGAAAAGTTTACAACCAGAACTTATTTTCATTTAAATGATTTTATATGACAATTGAAAAGTGTTGAAAATCACTGACACAACAAGAATTATCAGGATTACAAAAGTAATGACAAATGGTTTTCTTAATTGTCTTCTGAATTTTAACACATTTTGGGATGAAGTTTTCCCCCCTAATTTCAGACTAGTTAATTTTGGATTTTTTTCCCCCGCCCGACGTGTATTTTTAACACTGTATACTCAGTGTATTAATTTACATCTCCCTGGTGCAAATCCATATTTGATTCAGACTAGTTAAATGTCATTCAAACATTTCTTTTTCATATGTATGGAACTTTTGATGGTTGAGATCGCAGTTAACACATTTTGCCATTTAAAATATCTGTGGTTATGTTCTCTGAACTTGAATTAAGAAATTCTTTAGTTTTTATCAAGACTATTTGAGAGTTAAAACGACATGTTCCTACATGTACATGTATGATCATTTTTCATTTATCAACAAACATAACATGTGTGGTAATAGAATCGTCCCAATTGAATAGTTTTGGTACAAGCCGATTAGTTTGATAATTTGAACAATGTACATTCATGTTAAAATTTACCATGTCAGCCGTCCTCTCACCTATCTAGTGGATGGACAAAAACTCATGTAAGACTTGTAGTTGGGGGTTGGCTTAATAAAGAGTATATTTTCAACAGTCGTGTGTACGTGCAATATTCATTACATCCTTGATATAAATAATAACCGTTGGGCTTACATTGTAGCAAATGATTCTAGGGATGTCCTAACACAGTTCGGCATTAGGCCTATTGAGAGAGGCAGCGTAGGGCAGGAGAGCTTGGTAGGTATGACATTGGCACTATTGGAAGGTCGCTGGTGTCAAATCCTACTAAAGCCTCAGGGCAGCTATTTTGTCCAACCAAATATGTTAAAACTCCCACATCCTTCAAAATCCACCAGGAGGTTTTGGAAGATTTTGTAGGATGGAGGAGTTATCCAACCATTTTTACTTCATGAGGTTGGCACTGTGCCGATTGTGGAGGCATTCATCATAGCGTTCAGGTTGAGTTTTCCAGGTTACATTTCTAATAGACCCAGTGGAATTTGTCCAATCTTCGTGGGAGTTTATTGTTTTTCAATCCCTTGTATTCTAATGGACTGGCTCCTCATATTCTTTGTACAGTGATGATGACATGCAGAGTCTGGCCTCCATCCTGTCCTACCAGCAGCCCGACATCGCTGACCTGGACGATTTCGATGATGAAGATGAAGAGTTTGACCGGGAACTTACCTCGGCCAAGATCTCAGAGCTGGCCAGCCACTACAAGCTGGAGCTCCTGAATGAGGACGAGGAAGACCCTTTCTGCCTGTCAGAAGAGGCATTCGCAGAGGTCGATGATGGTGAGCTTTCCATTGGTTTCTCGGGAAGTTTTCACTCCATTTGAGATTTTCAGGCCCACTATGGGAAGTTCACTCAGAGCTGTTGGAGGCTACTTGGCTACATGAACATCCTTATTGTGGATGTGGTGCCTTTTTGATTGTGGTTTCTGTCATGTAGGCAGAACTCCTAGCAAATACCCATGCGGCCAGTGTTTCAAGCTGAGCAAGTCAGCTAGACATTCAAGGCCCTGGTTAAACTCACTTTTTTTGTCCTTAATTCCAGCCTTTGAAGTGTTAGTTTGATGTCTCTTGTATTTCTGTGTTTTTTTATAATTTGACAGCTTTGAACTTATTTGACATTGCGCTGAGATTTTGTGCATGTTGTGCATGTAAAAAAAATAGACTGATTGATCAGACACAAGCCATCATCAGGAATACTTACAATGTGGCAGTGTTTTGCCGCTATCTGCGTGGCACAGCGTAGCACTGCACAGAAGACCTTACACCTGGGTGCACCTGTGCAAACTAGACTGGTCGCCTTGCCCAATGGGATGGTGTTCACTGAGAACTTCAAGTAGACTGTGTCTTCAGCAGAAGGTGTCTAATTCCCCCCCTCATACCAAAATTCACAATGATGTTCTGTAAGATGTATTGTATCGGGTTTCGATAGTTTCGGTATTTGATTAAGCAGCTTTCAATGCTGATATTTATAATCTCCCCTGGCAAAGAAACTATCTGAGAAGACCCTTCAAGTCTTAATCAGGATAAAGCCTGTACCTTAAACCGACTTAAGAAACCACATTCCTGAAGTCTGACATCATACCTAGAAACGGACAGAAAGAGAAACTGTATCTGCCAACCTCTTCTGGAGGGATCTGATTGGAGGAGAAGTGAATTGCTTTCGTTTGATATATAGGGACCGTGTAATCTTCACTAGTTGAGGATGGTACGGCTGTACTGAATCTTGTAACTGGAAACAATATTTAACCAACTCAAATGATTTACATGTAATGTTGATAAAAATGAAAATGTCATTTGCCCTGCTCAATAAATAGGAAGATCAGATAAGAGTCTCATCAAAGGCAGAAGAATCAATTTGAAAATCCTCTATATTCTGCAACAAAATATGAGAAAACGGAACATGTCTTTGCTTTTCCTGAAGCAATATCTGCTCTTTGTTTCTTTTATGAAGCAATTTAATCCTCTGTGGTTGCTCTGTCCTGTACTGTGTTATGACTGTAAGTTCCTATATTTGCATCTGCCTTAAATACCAGTGCAGGTGCTTTTCTGGTCCTTAATTGCCGTGGACAAAATACAACATACATGTATTTTGGTGGTGTTACCATTGCTGCCTTTTGAGTTTCTTGGGGAGGAGGGGAGATGGGTAGAATTCATATTTGCATGTAATTTTTCTGCTGTGGGAGTTTTTGTATGGAAATGCTGTTTCCTTGGAAATAATTTGATTTGGTAATTTCATCTTGACTATTAAAATGATGAATTCAGTTGGTTTGCCTAAAAAAAGGGCCAGCTCAAATGTAGATAGATCAGTTTGTTTGTTTGTTTGTTTGTTTTTCTAATAGTGAAAAAATGTTTGTTGTCATTATTTATTGTTTATCATGTGGAATAGATTGGTCTCTTGATGCATGTAAATGTTGAATGATGAGTGAAAATGAAGAAAATCTCAAAAGACTTTTTATCCAGCTCCAGATGAAGTGAAAAGTCAAGTGGGCCTTTTTCTTTTGCCAAGTATATGTATTGATTGAATGGGTGACCAAAGCTTGGAGAAAGTTTTCTCCTTGGTTGGCCACAGCATTTGCTGCAAATTGCACATTTGTCCCTTTAATTGAATTAAAATGAGGCATAGTTTCATTTACAGTTGTATGAACAATTTTGTGATCTAATAACCGTCTTCCCTGTAGGTTGTTTAACACTGAGAATTATGTTTGGCCATTCTATGCAACAGTGGAAATTTGGTGGTTCTGTGACATTTTCATTTTTTGGTAAAACTGCCTTTTGTGGGGGGAATTATGATTAATAATGAGGTTGGTAACAGCATGATCAACTTACCACTTGTATGTGGAACTGACTTTTGTAATGGCAGTTAGCTGTAGGCAAAAACTGCAGCCGTGTAGCAAGGAGAAAGTTCTGTAAGCTATGGAGAGTATGGAAATGCTGGTTTGTTGTAACACTAGCGTGCATTTTGCAGCTGGTACATTTCTGAAAAGGACGGTTTGGGTAGGGGGGGTTGTAGAGTGTCATCCTGCTCACAAATCTACTACAAATGAGTCGGGTTTGAAGGACACAATGATTAGTGGCCATTGAGGGTTTTCTTTTTTTGATTTCTAATTAATTCTCGCCACCAGTGTTCGGCCCCTGCTTGTGATCCACCCAAACTTTCTCTATGGCTAATGCCTACTTCTGTCGCAATTACCGAGTATGCCTTTTCAGGAGGAAAAAAAACCCTTGGAAGTGCTCCAAGAAGGAGAGAACATGTCTCGGGGCGCTTTCATCCATCAAGTGAATCAAAAGAAGAGGGGGGGGGAGGCAAAGGAGAACTTATGTAACGCACCCCAGGCCTTCCCATTGTTGGATTTTCTCCAGATTTTGGGCCGGGCACACAAAGGATCGGTATTCACCCGCACCGACTTAACAAGGGGTACATCCACTGTCACAATGGTAGCAGAAAAGATGGATTCCTTCTTTGTTTCTTCACCAGAGATTCTCTTTTGTTTGCCCTCAATGATAAATCCCTTTCGCTGAACGGTCTTCCCCAGAAAAAACTTTCTGTGCCATATGTGGAAGCCAAGTGACAATTGTCTTCCCTTCCGCCCATCCCCATTTTTCTCCCTGACGAGCCACAAAGCTCCAGCAAGACCTCTCACGTGAAGGGCCCAGACCCAGGAAAGCCAAATTGGCAGATTTGAGAGCGTTCAGTTTTTGAGCCCCCCCTTCAGCTTTGGTTATAATACCACAGCTACAGGCTCCTGATCAATAGGCTAATCTGTCCAGCCGAAGGAAATGAAAAGATCTTCGGGTTGCGAGGGGCGAACTGTTATACCCAAACGCAAACTATGATTCACGCTGCATCAGCAGTAATTAGTGGACAGGATCTGTGGCAGGCTGAACCTGGTTCAAATCTGTAACACGGGTTTGAGCGCGACAGATCCTTTTGAGGAAGGCTTCATTACTGCTCTTAGATCTGTGTACATTTATAAAACTTTTCATGACAGGGTTCATTTGACATTTGTAGTTGTTCCCAGTGATCTTCCTCTCACTGTCCTTTAATACAAATGGGGGGGGGAATTTCTTTTGGGGGAGGAGGGAGCTAGATGAAACTAAATCTAGTGAACTTGATCGGAAACTTCAAAATACCCCCCAAATTTTGTTTGTTTACTTCTTTCAACTTCCAAGCATGTTTTCTCTTGGTGGGGAAAAGCATTGTATGAGTGCGGCACGACACAACATTTTTGGAAATTAAAATTCACTCAAATACATATAAAATGTGTGAGATAATTGAATTTCAGTCCAATTCTGCTGCAGTAGTGTTCTAAGTCTAATACCATCATGTTCCAATACAGGTGTTACAATTTTAGACCAACTTCTTGTCAGGTCTGCTTTTATTTCATTACTAATTATGAAATGTATTAATTTCTCATCCCCACTGCTTCTTTGTCCTCGCGTATTTTGCCTTTATGTTTTTTTTGTCCAAAAATTATTTGACCATGTATGCACATCAGAACTCATGGATGACTCCTCGGTACATTTAAAGTACGAGCAAAGGAGATTTTAAAAATCCACCAGTTTGTCTTCAGCTGAGAAACAAGGTTTTTTTTTAATGCCGATGGGGAGAATAACGTGGCATTGTGATTCTAGTAACATTTGTGATGGAAAGTTTTGCTCGTGAGCCAGAGTCGGTGTTTCAAATTTTGAAGTTTAGCGGGGTACCTGGAAAAAAGTAAGGTGCGAGGACTTTGCTTGAATGCTAAATTAAACACTCCACTTAAAGAAAGCAAGATGTTTTACATGGAAGTGTGACAGAGTTTTGCGACTGTGATCTCAGGGACACAAGAAATGGGAATGATGCTGTCATGCACCAGTCTTTAAACACTGCGTCTGACTTGGCGGGATTCGAACCCAGCACACTCATAGATACTTCATTGTAGATACATACATGCACATGTACTGTATGTGCATGCTGTGAATGCATGCCATTCATATTGAATGGTTAGAAACAAATCTGACGTTATGATATGTTATCATATTAAGCATTTCAACATATGACTGAGGATTTTCCGACATGTCTGGCCTATTTCATCAATGTTTTCATGTGGTAATTTGAATTAAAAGGCTGCATCCGAATCTCTTGTCTAGAGCTAGGTCTAGGTCTTCGCTCCAATGGAAATGCGTGGAGACGCAGGGACAATAGACCTAGCCGTAGCTCTGGAAGCCCGTTTCGGACACGGCCATAGGCTGTACAGAGAAATGTAAGTTGTGATCTTTCATCAAGATCGAGAGAAATCCATCCTCAGGAGTCTAGTTACCAGTCGTATTAGTGAACACTAACAAACTCGTTGGATTTTGACCCGTAGACCCTTTCAAGAAGTGCGGGAGTAGCAAGCGACACAGTCAGAGCGACGATGTGTCCTTCTCCAGTGATCCGGCCAACCCCTTTGACGAGGCAGATCCAGACCCAGACCTCAGCTTCACCACCACCAGTCAGTCGTTTCAATCCGGCCAGTCGTCCCGCCAGAGCTTCAGTGCTAAGGAGCCCCTGAGTGCCCGGGGTAGTGTCATTCCCCAGATCACGCCGGAGGAGAACAACACGTTTGATGAGGCGCAGGGGGAACCGGGAGACTCGGATGAGTGAGTCTCAAAATTCCATCATCCAAGCTTGGGTTAACTTCGTTCATTTGGCTTCTACTTTTTCAGGATCAAGCTGTGAACAATTCTCTGACTTGTGTCTGCAGATTTTAGGATATTTTAACAGTTGACACCGTTTGCCAAAGTTCACCCTCATGCTCACACGGAGAGAGTTGCTGTCAACTTCTCACAAATTACTCACCTATACACCACTCTCAAGTCTAGTAATGAGCTATAAATTCAAATGAACCTTAACGATTTCTCCATGCTTCGTTACCTTAACTTGCCTTTAGGCTCACTTCTAATTGACTTGACTGCAACTTTTTCCAAAGCAACTGGTTCTCTTTGACAGAACACTCTCCCGACATACAAGGACTCAGTTTAAATAAAGCTTTGTCAAGTCTTTTATAACCTGCTTTTTGCTCTTGTTTCAAATGGGTCTATCATGGTGTAAACGAGTTACAGATTCCTTTGGCATTAAGCTTTTGATTGCCAAAATCAACCACAATGGCTCTCAGAAGTACTGAAAATATTAATAAGCCCTGTTCTGTAGGACTTGAACTAATTAAATTCCTGGAGGTTGTCATCTTTTTATAACCCTTGTTTGGAATCCTCTCCTCCAGGAATTCCCCGACGGAAGGAAGCCGTTACCGGAAGCGGAAAGCCCCAGCGCCCCCTTCCTCCACCCAGCCCAATCCCCTTGCCCAGCTGTTCCAAAGCCAAGCTCTCCAGAACAACAACACCACGGCGACGGATGCTGAAACGCCCCGCACCAATGTCATGGAGTTCAAGAAAGTTGGGCCGCCGGTGAAAGCCGAGGTACCGGTGAGGGAAGAACAGGAGGCCAGTAGGCCAGCACCTGTTGTAAAGACGGTGAACCCCAACGTGGTAAGTGCAGCCTGCAGCTAAATAAGCAGGACTTTAGAAGGTCAAAACGTTCTCATTTTGCCTTTTTATTCAGGGGTTACTTCCAGGATACATTACTCTTGCTAAATTTGTCTTACAGGCCAGCTGCACAGTGTCAGATTCTTCAGGTGTTGGCTGCTTTTACTATGTTCCTAAAACAGTTGATATTGAGTACATCTGTAAAGCTGTAAAATTTTAGTTCAGTAAAGCAAGGCAATCTTCCAATTAGCCTTAGCACTATTTCAAGTCTTTCTGTGAAGGAACAATTTTTACTACCTTTTGTGAATAAGAAATTCGTGTTTACTCTGTATTTCAAGATTTTCAATTGGATAAGAACATAGTGTTATTGTTTTGGAAAAGTGGTTTCAAAATGTTAGCAAGAGGCAGGCCAAAACTTTTACAAAACCCAGCTGTAAAAATTTATGTTATGTATCACAAAAGGTGCAAGGATAAAAGGGTCTCTCCTCCCTACTCTTCCAACTAGCATTGTCTCTTTAGTCATTAGCTGTGTCTGCCAGTGTCTACTTTTGCCCAATTTTGCCCTCTCTTATGGTTTGTCTTCCCCGTTGAGGGCTAAAATGTTGATGATCTCATTCCTTTCAGCTAAGTCCAAAGAAGACTAACAAGAACACGCCCAGCCAGGAGCTCTTGGAGTGGTGCAGAGAGAACACGAAAGGCTATCGGGGAGTCAGGGTGACCAACCTGACCACATCGTGGCGGAATGGCCTAGCATTTTGTGCCCTCATCCATAAATTCCGACCAGAGCTCATGTATGTATCTTCTGTACGACCTTGAAAACTCATTCAACATGCATAACATTTCCTCTCTTTTTTTTGCTGTATCTCAGAGGTTTTGATGAATAACTTGCAGTAATGCATGGTTTAGTTTTAAGGCATCTTGCTCCTGAAAAGGCAAGTCTTTTGGACTTAGAGAATCCATGATGGTGTATCATCAGTAAAGTTTCATTTCCCACTCATACAATATGCGTGTAAAGCTCAGACCCTTGCAGGTATTTAGGCAAAAGGAGTTTCCATTATGACTGTATTCATGTTTGATCTTTTTCCTTTACTTTGATAATGTTAGCCTCCATGTACACTTTTAAACTCAGCCCCACAAGACCCAGTGTTTTTCAAAGTGTTAATCTACTAATCTTCCTAAGCCTGTATGAACCCACAAGACGACATGGAATTGTTTGATTACTTGAATGAATCATCGGGCCGTTATAAACATTTGAAACAACCTTAAATACTTCCTTCATGTGACCTTTATTTTCTTTGTTTTGGTCTTTGTTTTTCTGTAGTGATTTTTCGTCTTTGTCCCCTCATGACATCAAGGAAAACAACTCTAAGGTATGTGAATTTCTTCCCGCACTATGATAACTGATTCTCCAGAACCTGTTGTCGCTGTAATTCACAAGAAGTTTCTCAGTGAACATTTCTGAATAATCTGCCTGTTACTTTAGGGAACGAGGACTGTTATGTCAGTTCATATAGGTATCTTTTTCAGGGATATTTTTCTTCAGTCATAAATTGTATAAAGGACTTTGGAGCCCAGCTACCAAGGAGACAGACCTCCAACTGTGGATTGAGTCTCTAGTTGGGGATTTTTGTTGTCTGTGATTGTTGGAAGGAAAGTTTACTTGCATTTTCTCTCCTAGTCCATGAGCCAAATGAATTGCATAAAGGTCCCATGGAGTTATTCATAGACCGAGAATACAAATTACTAGTCTGTCCTGAAGTGTTACATGTCGGAAGAAAGTGTTTTAATAACACTAGACAGTATGCAGTGATGGTATTGTTTTGACATTATTTTACTTTCCTCACAACAGCTCTCTTATTGGTTCTGGGATATCTTTTTTTTTGCCGTTAAGATGTCAGCCATTGAAAAAGAAAATCTGTATTTCCCGCCCTAACAACAGTTGAAATCACTTTTTTGAAATTGAACTAAAAAGAGAGTCAACTTTCATAGAGGTCTTAACTGTTCAAACTGACATATTCCTGATTTCAGATAACATTTTGTTGACTGATGTTCCTTTTTTTTTCCCTTCAGGCTTTCGAGGCTGCTGCCTCCATGGGCATCCCCAAGCTACTGGACCCCAAGGACATGGTCCTACTGGCTGTGCCGGACAAGCTGGCCGTCATGACCTACCTCTTCCAGATCCGGGCCCACTTCACGGGCCAGCAGATGGAGCTGCAGCGCATCGGCGACACGGCCAAGAAGAGCACCTACGTGGTGGGCAAGTCCAGTACGGACGCCGCGCTGAGCGAGGACGTGTTCCAGCAGGAAGCCCTGAGCGTCCGGGACAAGCCCAACAAGGTCCCTCGGGTGGAAGAGGTGGACGGCCACACACCGGTGACAGTGAACGGCACGGGTGGTTCCACTCCCACCAGTGGGACGGGCAGCAGCTCCACCCCTGTTAACCAGAGCCCCACCAAGTTGAACAGACGCCGGTCCTCCTCAGGTAGTCGGCACTCGTCAGAAGGGGAGGACCTGGGCAATGATAAACCGAAGCTCCCCGAGACTAACGGGACAATGCAGAGTTCCAAGGAAACGGACTCGGTGACCGATAAGGAGGAGGAACTGGATAGCGAGCCCAAAGGCCACTCAGGACAGGGTAGCATGGACACAGACTTGTTGCAGGAAATCAGGGTTGATGCAAATGGCACAAAGGCATCCGAAGATGGGATGGAGGATGAAGAAATTGATATGGTAAGAACCCCTTCCAGAATCTTGGTAGAGCATTGAAGAGCAGTCTCTCTAAGGGTGACATTGGTCCTGCTTACTAAAGAGGCCCTCATAAATTTAATACTGCTTGATGTTGTGGTAGTCGGGTTACAACTCCAAAATGCTGTCGTAGTTATCAGGGGCCAATTTCATAGAGCTGCTTAAGCACAAAATTTGCTTAAGCAGGAAAACAATTTGCGTGCTAACCAAAAAAACCCAGCTAAATACAAAACAATATACATGGAGTTTTGGCTGGTTACCTGATTTATCAAGCGAGGTTTTTCTCGCGCTTGGGCCCAGATTTATAGTCAGCCAGTGCCACATACTAGACTCCTGACAAAACGCAAATTACATGTTTACATGTATGTCGGAGAAACACTTGTCTTAGAAACTTCAGCCATCCAAATTAGGTCGTACCAAATTATTTCTTTAGAATAGGCGTGAGCAGGACTTATGTTTTGATTCAAGAAAAAACTTGAAGCCTGGTGTGTTTTAGGTGAGAAGTTGGGAGTCACAAAGCACATTATTTTCAGGAGGATTTTGAATAGTTTAAAGGGAAAGAAAGCAGCTTTGGCAAGATTTGGAGAGATGTGCCCAAAACTGTTGTGTACTGTAGGCCATTTAGTATAAGTTGATTACCTGTATTCTGTATTATGAGATAAACCTACAGTGTACCAGAAACTCTTAGAAGCAATGGGATTTGTCATAAATAAAGAAAACTCCGAGGAGATTACATGTATATTTGATGACCAAATCCAGTTGACAAACATGAACCATTGTCATGGAGGCAGTTTTATCTGCTTATGCTAAACACTTTTTCATAATTACTTGTACTAGTTGCTGAGCTGTCTCAACACCAGTAGTAGTTGAAAAAGAGTGTAGATTCTTAGCCATTTAAGCATTTCTAGCCTTTAAGGACAAGACCCGTGTATTGAAAGCAGAAGTTGCCATGCACATTCCCAAAGAGCCACCTGTCCGGGACTTGTGCTGTTGGAATACATACCTGTAGCTTAGTGTTATCTTTCCTGGGGAGTGTACTTCAAATGCTCCATTTACAAAAGTACTAGTGCAGTATACAGTCCATGTACATGGTATGCAGGCAGCTCTGTGTGTGAGTATGCATGCAGTGTAGAAGACAGGCAACTTTTTCACTGTTGGTTGTAGGTAGAAAGTTTATGTCATTTGTCAGGTACTCGTGTTCTCTGTACGTGCTCGTTTGTGAAGCTTCAGAAATATTCTGTGGTAATACTCTACATGTACATGTACATTGTAGGAGTAGAGTTGTGTAACAGAATTTTTTGTTAAGGTCATGATTTTGACCTGTTTACAAGTAGACAGTTTTCTGCTGGATGTGTGCATCGGGTATGTAAAATAAAACTGGAAACTTACTCTGGATACTTGGCTTTCACACTTTCCAGCATTTCACTAAAACAACAAATATAAGACATTAAGAGACATTCATGCATGGTTTGTTTTTTCAAATGACTATATTCTGGTGGTGTGTACCATTTGAAGGAAAAGGTCACATCATTAACCCTAACAGTCCTCAGTCCTCCAACAGGTGAAGGATTGAGGACTGTTAGGGTTAATGTTTTTGGAACACTTTGAAAACTTGCTTGAATGCTTTGGAACTTGTTTCAAAATGAAACCATGGACATGGTGGGTACCTGTGTGCAAATATTTAAATTATAGAAACCTGTTAATTGCTATAAATTTACATGTTGGCTTTGTAGTTGTTGTCATACTTAAACACAGACCAGGAACAGAATTTGAAGTGTTGATTTTCAAGTCTTCCTAGTTAGTTAACTGCTTTGAAATGCCCCCTCTCCTTCTGTCACAGAAAGAGCTAACAAGGGAGGAACAGTTGAAAGCCAGAGCTAGGAAGCTCCTAGACCAAGCACGACGAGATGCTGCCACCAAGCAGAGCATTCGAAGGCCAGCCAAGGAGAAAGCTGATGAGAAGGAGGAAGCCAATGAGGTAGGAATGGAGTACCAATTTAGGAACCAAGTACCAATTTAGGAACGGAGTACCAATTTAGGAACAGAGTACCAATTTAGGAACGGCGTACCAATTTAGGAACCAAGTACCAACTTAGGAACGGAGTACCAATTTAGGAACGGAGTACCAATTTAGGAACCAAGTACCAACTTAGGAACGGAGTACCAACTTAGGAACGGAGTACCAATTTAGGAACGGAGTACCAATTTAGGAACGGAGTACCAATTTCCTGGAACTACATGGAGTACTTAATGGTTCTTCAAGCTAAGCTGGAAATATCCCCGCTGGTTGAAATTGGATTACCAGCTAAAGTGTTCATGCAATTCCCACTGCTTTTTCCTGCTTCTATGCGTTTTTACGTCTGTAATACTGGTAGTTTTTGCTCAGTGAGTAGACTTTTATTACAATTGCCTGGATCTGCATTGAGAGGAAAATTGCAGATTTTATTCAAAGTTTGTTTGATTTTTGTTTTCCCTAAAATGGATTCTGAGTAATCACAGACGTCTTTTTAAAGTAATTTGTTGCTCGATATGACTTTTTATGGCCTGAAGAGTCCTTAATCCTCCAATCTCAATATGATTTTACATACACCTTAAGTTTGGCATTTTGTAGTTTACTAGATCCCTGGTGTGCTGTTCTTTTTATTTTTGAGGGGGGGTTGACTCCAAGTTGACTCAATTAGGTCAGGAATTACGCATGACACTGACTGCTCTCATTGATTCAGGAAGAGAACGAGAGACAGAAGGAGTTGAGACTGCGAGCGAGGCGGCTCATCGCAGAGGCCAGACAAGGCATCAACAAGCCGGAGATTGAAGGCATTGAAGAGATGTCCCAAGCAGCCAAAGACCAGCAGGAAGGTAAGCTTTACATGGTGGTTTCGTTGGTTTCATTTTCATGAAAAAGAAAAAAAAATGGCCTTGTAGAAAGGATTCTCATCAGCGCAGCTTTAAATTGAGGTGATAGCGACCTAGCGTTCCAAAAACAAGCCAAAGAATTGCATGTATAAGTTGTTATCTGGAATTTCTAACCAACATACATGTACTCACGAATGACCCAACTTTCATCACCTGGAACAATTACAAGCGTCTGCCAAAACTTACTTTGAATCACTTCAAAGTATGAAAATTAACAGTGGGAGAGAGGAATTGTCAAACGTTCAGAATGACGGGTCACACTTACATGTAAGAACTTTCCAGGAAGGAGTTGCCGCACAGGTCAGGGGTCATTGATCATGTCATCTGAAGCACTGTGGTCCACCAGTAAATGCACTCTGTGTGCATACCAAGCCCTGAATGGCAAGGGGGGAAAAGCAATGTTAGTCAGGTCAAGGCACGGACACTCTGTCACCATCATATGCAGATGCTGACGTTTGTTTCATTCATAGAAATGTGCTACAAGTTGGGTACCTTCACTTAGATATTTGTTGGACACACTTAATCTTGATACAAGAAGACCAGTATAGGGTAGGGATGTTATTGTGGAATAACCCAAGCTTTAAACTGTCGTATGCTGTTCCTATGTCAAATTTTGTATTTGTGATGATCTCTCCTATGCTTACGCAATGTTCAGATCTACCGTAAATGTTCTGATTGGTGGCCGAATAAAAAAGCGCAGACACATGTTCTGGCTAGTCAAACTAGTCAGAGTCCATGTGATTGTTCTCAGTGTTACTGTGTTTTATTGCAGATTGTTAGCCATTGGCACCGTGGTTTGGTTTCAACCATTTTTCTACGGCAGTTTTGCATTCACATCCGTTACTTCTGCCACTATCTTGTTCCCAAGCTTGTGTTAAGATATACATATATGCCATTTAGCTGCAGTAAAGGTTACTGGAAGTTTTTCTTTGAAGGTTTGGGTGTGCAGTTTTTGAAGCAGCGATACCTATCTTCCTCCAAAGTGTTTTCAAGGTTCTTCCCAAAGATATCTTAAATAATCCCGTCAATATTTGACAGGTTATTTTGAGGCTCACAAGTAGGAAGCATGTGTAATCCATTGGACACCTCTCTAAATATTTTGTGTGTGCTCTTAGGTTGCCTCTTTTATTCATTTTAAATCAGTACTTTCATAAATGCAGCCACATTTCTCTCATATTTTTGAGGTTTTGCCTCTTCCGTATTGTTAGATTTACATATATGTATCCTGACTTGAACCATACTACATGTACAATGTCAAGTCAACATATAAATGTTCACGAGTGAGGACTTAAAGTAACATAATCCATTCTTAAACAACATAAAAAAAAGCCCTTTGGGTTTTTTACTCTTAAGATAAAAGGTTCAAAAGTATCTCAAGCGGGTAATCTTTCTGGCCTTTAGTGAATTTAAAGCGACTCTTATTATGTGAGAAATGACCATCATTCCTTTACATGTACAGAACCGTAGTTGAGACGGAGAACCTATTTTATATCTCATCCTGTGCATTTCTTGCCTTTGCCGCGCACAGACTGTCACAATTTTTCCGCAATCTTTTTACTTCGGGTTCAGTTCACTCAATCATGGAGCGCCAAATCCCACTATTGGATTACCTCACCACCAATATTGATTTCTCCGTTTTGATTTTTATCTGAAGGAGCAAAGAAAAGACCGGAGCACTTTTTTTCCCCTTCCTCTTTTTTTAAGGGGTTGTGCTCTGAATACTTCCTCAAACAAACTCTAGAAACCCAGTGGCAATGGCTCAAAACAAATGCCAACTTTCCAGAAGAATGAGACTCCGAATGAGCCTTTAAGACCAGTGAATAAAGTTCCAGATACAGTAGCCTTCTTTCAAGACACATAGAAAGCCAAGGGGGAAAAATCAATAATCCTTTTCAATCCATAGCATGCATCAGTAAGCCGGGGTTCTTTGAATTTTTCTTCCTTTTCTTTCTTTCCTTTTTCCCCCTTCTTTCTCTATCTTGTTCCTTTCTTTATGAGAGCTTTTTATGGCACTCTCCTTTTCTCTGGACTCTCCTCTTGTCCTTCCAGTATGGCAGACGAGTTGTATGGTGGTTACCATACTGGTACAACAAAAGTCAGCAGTGCCGGTTCATCTGGGAGGGTGCCCAGGTGCTGGGCAGGTGTACATGTACATGTAGTTTCATGGAACCCTGGATGTTAAACAGTATAGAATTCGGACTGCCCTAGATCCTACGCTGATCTGTACAAAGCCGTGCAAGGAGAGCGTATTGTTTTCTTTGACATGCGATTTCTAAGGTTTAATTGTTCAATGTTCTGGGCAGTGAGGGTACAGTGCGAAGCTTTCTTCAATTGGACAGCCAATTTATTTCACTCAGCGCAAGAAATTCAGATCAAGTTACGAAGACCACTTCAAGAATTTGGATGAACACTTCAGATTCCTCAGACATAATGGATTACCTGTAACTGTAAGACAATACAAATGGGGGCTAGTTTTTGGCGCACAAATTTCTATATCTTGATTTTGTTCTGTTGCAGAATGTGATTGTAGAAAGTGAACCTCATTGATGACATCAAATGGACCTTCACTAGCCCTCAATCGTGTCTTACTCTTTTTAAGGAATACATCGTGACCCTGCCTCCTTCCAGGAGGAGATTCCTTCTCACCCAACTTCCAGTAGCATGGGGAGCATTAAGGAAGCTTGAGGCCCCCCAAAGTTTAAATAATTTTTGTAAATCTGAAAATTGAGGATGTGAAAACCGAGATATAACATACACTTTGAAATACTAGCCATATGTAGATATAGCCATACATGTACATCCCAGTCCCCCTGTAGCACAACGATGTGGAGGAAGGGAGCATTTTGAGTTATTTGGAGGCTAAATTTTGGTCCCTGCACCCCAACAAATCCTGGGTGCCCCACTGCCTACTTCTTGCACCTGTCAGAAAACTCTGCATGTTCATCACACGGCGCTCTTTTTCCTCTCTGTCCCTCTTGTTTGTCTTGTCCTTGAGCGTCCCATCACTGGGTGCCATGGTTGTGACAAATTGACTGGAAATGGGAGGGGGGGGTAGTTTTTGTCCTTGATCTGCCTCCTCTCAACCCCGCCGCCTCTCCCTCTCCCCCCCGACCTGACCTCTCTTGCATTGCATTTTTGGGATTCAGGACAACACGTCGGCCATTCCCAGCTGTGGAACTGAGTGGAGCAACACACTGGTTCCCAATCTCTCCATGAGAATGTACACTTGTACAGCGGTAACCAGCGTCAACCACTGCTACATGTATCATTGAAGTAAAACATGACACATCCATTGTTTGTGGAGTGGCAAGAGGGTGAACAGTAAGCACTGTGCATGGCTTAAACTAGTGACACAGCAGAGGAAATCACCATAAAAGTGTACATTTTAGCAGTTATTACATGAAATTGTGCCACGAGAGTAGAATTTTTCAGGAAAGCTGTTCTGCAAGATGGCGGCCATGCAATCCCTCCATAGGCACCCAGGCATATGATCCCGAGGAAGGAAAAAACTGATTAAAACATTGGAAGCAAGGCTTAATGTAGCTTGTGATTTATCCTGTCTTCTGTATAATCTTCGCTCGCATTTTCATACACTGGAAAGAATAGCTAGTCTCCAGTAATCGATAACTAGCGTGGGAAAAGTCTAATCCTACATTGTATACATTGGACCAGGAGATGTGTGACCACAGGCCATGTAACTGTGCACCTATAATCCCCATAAAACCAGTGTGAGGGAATCCTCCGATAATCAGATTTAGTCTTTCAATTCAGTGTTTAACCTTAGGTTTACATTTGTCACCTTTCAAAGTACGTGCTTCCCCCCCCCAAAAAAAAAAGAAAAGAAGAAAATCTCTCCTAGTACATGGCGTGCGTATTATTTCTTGCCCTTGTTGTGGATTCGTCATGGTGCTGGAAAGCCCGGCACACTCACTCTGTGTATATAGAGGATCCTAGCTGCCCGGGAGAACAGAGTTCTGATTCTCTCAATCCTGTCAAGCTTCTTATGGAGGGGGGGTCCTCCTGGTGCGTGCTGGAGGAATGTTCACAAAAGGAGCCCAGATAAAAGTGCCAGGGTCTACATTTTTGCGAGCTCCAGGGAGATAATCTTCAGGAGTTTAGCCCCTGTGGAGAAGAAGGGCTGTAAGGCAGTCAACCGCAACCATTGTGGCCGGCCACAGAAGGAGAGGCTCCTGAAGGGTGCTTGAATGGGGGCCGTTGGCATGCCTACACATGAAGTACAAGCACCCGTCTGAAGCAGATTACATAAGCCCTTAATCTCTTAAATTGTGTGCTCTTCTGAGGGGGGATGTGCACAAGTTGCAGGATGGGGAATAAAGGCTTCCTTCTAGAGCTTCTTCTCTTTCTTCTTTTCTTTTTCACTCTCAAAAGAGCTTGCCCTGCTGTTTCTTGTAATACCCAGGCACCCAAGATAACTTGTGGTCTCTTAGACATCAATCACAAATTGCTGACGCAAATGGTTGAGAGGTCGTTGTTTTGGCCCCCCTTCCCTTTGCCACATAGTCAGCGAAACAATGACCCGGGGGGTTCACTCTGGTTCAGTTGTAAGGCTGGAGCTTGAAGAGACCATGTAAAGGCAGGCAAAGGGAGCTGAATGGCAGAAGGGCGTCAGAGTTGCAATGCATTGGGCTTTTCATCTCGAGGATAATGAGCGCCTTGCACAAACGAGAATGGTGATGCCCATTGAGCCTAACCCATCAGTCTTGATTAAGGCACTCCATCTCCAAGTCCTCTGCCTCTCCCTCATCGTGGGCCCCCTCCCCCCCGCGGCATTGATCACTTGCAAAACGATCAGACTTCGAGTTACACTGAAGTTTGTAAGCAAATCGATGGTTTCTCATTCCCCAAGAGATGGCTGCTCAGCTATTGAGATAAATGCCGTACAGAATTGTTGTCAAAGACTGTTATGGTCAGATGATCATTAGGGGGAGGGGGCAACCTGCAGTGGAGTTGTCCCCGTTCGACTCCACATTGCAACTTGCCTCTTTGCTGATGATGCATTCCCTGCTCAGAGCCCGCCTCTGGCGTGAGATGGATGTGCTGCCAGGGGTCGGTGGTGTTTTGTACCGAGAACTACATCTGTCCCATTTTCACGAGATTGAGCGGATTTGCCATTGATGATGTTGTTGCTTATCGCCTCAGTGCCTGTAAACAGTAGCTGATATGGCTTCCCTGACACCCGACCAACCCCTTGCTCCTAAATACCTCAGCAGCATACCTCTTCATACGTTCACCTTTCACCATCCCCCCCTTGTCATTAGTGCTTCTCCATGTTCCCCATTATCAGCACTTCATTATCCGCCCATAGGATTTAGTCAGAACCCTGTTAGGACCTTTTTCACCCGGCGTTTCAAGAATAACAAAAAACTGGGGCCTTAATGGCTCGAGTCCACCGGGGCTGTGCAGTCTTTCCTTTCATAGCTAGGGTTTGGCCAGGCTTACTTCCCCAAGCACCCTTGAGTATCGAGTTGAAGTCAGGTGGTGAGAACAGGTCATTTGATGCACCGGGAGGGCACAAGAAGGCAAACCCTCGGCCATTGTCCAAGAGGTTATTTCCAAAAGCCTCGGGTCGTCAAGAAAACAGTGGGAACACCATTGGACGCAACAGCGCACAAAGCAGATTGTCTCGCTTATCAACAGTATCGAGACAATTCTCTTTTCAACCAACAGATGTAGTCAGGATGGCACATATCGTAGGGTGCATTCAGGGCTTTCATGTTCCAAAGTTTGGCCATTCCCCTGGAATGCACCTGAAAGAGCGACCATAAATTGACATCTTAAGAAACTCAAAGCACTTCCATGTGTAGTATAAGGTTTTTTTTAACCTGAAGGTTATGTAATTCTTCAGGAGAGTCAATTTAAAGCACAGAAGATCAGGAGTAACAGGATAAAGTGCTGTTAACTATTGCCTTTCATGAATTTTGAATGTTAAGTTATGAAGTAGGCATGGTTGGGCGGGTGCCCAAATGTTTTAACCTGTTTTAACCTGTTTTCACTTATGATCCAGTACCTATAAAATGATTTCCATTATTGTGCAGAATTTACATTGATTTCAGGCCATCTCAATAAATGGACAAGTATTCTGTTATTATTGGAATGCCCATCTAATCCGAGCGGAACAAAAGAGGGCGTTTTTTTTTTATACTCACCACATAGGTGCGCGTTTATAATGGAGATCAGTGGCACGTTTGAAGTGGAGCATGCCGAGTACGCGTACTGAATTTATTCCTTAATGTATGGTCTTTGCATACGCTCAGAACACGTGCAAGAACCCGCTTGGAAAACGTAATACCATCTGTCTTTCTTTTGCCACTTGGGGGGAGCCCTTCAACTCTTGGTGGATTAAATGATTCAAGTAACTTTGCTACATTGAAATCCTCATTAAGACCTTTCTCTGTTATCATATTCCATTTATGATTACTTTCCCTGCTTTCTCCATCCTCAAATGCCATCATTTCATTCTTTATTTTAGTCAAGCATTACTCCCTCTTTTTCTACATTGCCCTGACCTCTTTTGATCTGTTCCTATGATTTCTTTATTTCTTTGTGGTATAATTGTTTTTTTCCTTACCCTTTTGGTGCAGCAGGATCCAGATTCAAGTTTTATCAGTTTGGTAAGGGCCATGTGCAGTGTGCATGTGTATGTGTATTTTGTGGTTAGTAATATTTGCCTCGCTCACTGTGAAAGGTTTCCCTTGTAGCTATACGTGTAGAAGTAACATAACGCTTTGCCACTTCAACCTTACAGCTGTTTACAGCCCTTGTGAAAATAACATGAGCTCAAGGAACTGCATAAAACTCTGTGGAATGTTTTTTTTCTAAATTTATGCTGATTAATATTCTTGCGTTTGATTTGTCGGATGGATTTTGTTATCCTCAAGTAATCTGTTCATTGAGCTCATGCTACTAAATATTGCGTGCTTAACACGAATACCATGCATAAGCACCTGGACTACCACCAACACTGCTTGTGTGTAAAGACTGACACAGCTAAGCTTGAAGTAAAATTGTGTCTTTCACAAGGTTACGTTACTAGCAAAGTCACACCCCTTTCCATAGCTCCGCCCCTCCTCCTCTTTCCATCCCTTTCTCACCAATGACCCCTTGGCATTGCATCTGTACACACATGCTATTTTGCTTCACCTGCTTGTACCTCGCAAACTGAGTCACAAGTCACTGGAACTTTTGACTTCCGTACCTTTAAAACCCTCGACCGAGATGCGCGTTCTGGTCAGTTTTCTCTTTCTAATGTAAACTAGAACAAACTTACCCGGGAAGAAATGGCTTTAAGACTCATTTCATAGGACCCTACCACAAATTTGCTAATCAGTTCCAGTGCTATGAGTGGGCATTCCCTGGGAGGGAATATTTTGTATCTGCAGGCTGAAGATTTAGTGTAAGATTTTTTCCGGTTTGACTTGGCTGACATGCAGTACATGTATGTGTGAAAAAAAAAAACACTTGGATTTTTCAAATCCCCCTCCCCAAAAAATTCACTTCATGAAAAGTCTCTGTGCAGCAAGTGGAATACATGAAACTCTGTGTGTGAAATGTTGTATATTGTATGCTTCCAATATCAACCGTCTTCATTATTCATTATTACGTATGATCCCTACTCCTAAGAATAAAGTTGACTTGCAGACAGAAGCCTTGTGTGTCAGACTAATGGCAGCAGTTACGCAACACTAACAAACATGATTTAATCACAGGGTTTTGTCTTGTGGAAAAGCATGTATTCATTTAACTGATGTCACTTTTACTTACATGTACAAGTCCAGTTTGTCAAGTCCAGTCCAGTGAATCAAAATGAGAGACCAAATTGTTGGTATTTCTCTCTCGATTTCTCGCCAATTTCATGAAGTCGATGATGTCAATGAAGCAGTGACTTAAAATCAGGAGCTATCACTGAGTGGGCACCATGCTTGCAGGTGTACACAAATTGTAAGCAATCTGAAATGTCAATTTGATCGTATAGACGATTGTTCGTTCGTACCAGCTGACAGATGTCGAGGAACAAACTTTATACAAAATCAGTTGCAATGATGCCCACAATTGTACATTGTAATCACTATACATGTAATAGCTTCTCACTATTTTTAGCCACGATTTCGCAAAGATTTAGGGAAAAAAAACTTCTCCAATGCCACAAGTTGTGGTCGTCAAGAGACCACTTAGAATTTCATCTGATACAGCCATCTTCCTCTTCAGACATCCAGTCATTCAATTTCAAGTTGAAATATTGTCATGAAGGTTTCATCTTATTTTGTTTCCACAAATTTTGCATCAATGCATCATTATTACAAAGACTACTATCTTGACATACCTTTTTTTGTTAAAACGCTATTTCCAAATTCTAGGATGGACTCTGTATTGGTCTGTTGGGCATATCTTAAATCTGCTTGAAACAAGCTACACCGGTGCCATTTTTCTCAGAAAAGAAAACTCCCGCTTCTCCTTCGTGAATTTTGCATTCAAATATTGAGCTATGAAAAATACCAGCCCCCATTGCTAAGCACATGAATTTGTGTACAGCATTCCTGTTTAGCTGGTGTATGTAATGGGGCCCACCACATTATCGGGGGTGTCATCACACTCATGACGTTTCTTCTGTGTATTAACAAAGTAGCCTGTCTGTCGGAACACTAACCTCACCGAATATAACAACCGAGCCTTAGTTGAGTCAGGAGTCTTTCCCATTCCCACCACAAGTCAGATGACTGGTCAGTCACCGTTTGTTCTCCAAGGTCTTAATTTCAGACTTGGTAGGGACAGCTTAAAACCTCGAAGTGCAGGGAGGGAACCCTACTATGGAAACCCCCATTTGCAGTTCAGGTTATCTACATCTAAATGCAGATCTGTTGGCTTAAAAAATATTTGAAGCAGTGTTGGACAACCCTATACCACGTCTCTCATCCTTAAATGTAGCACCTCAAATTTTAAACTTGGCGACCAGATTTTAAAGCTTGCTGGCTACTTTGGCAGGAGACGAATAAAATTGTGTGGGCCACCAGGCCACTTCTGAAGGTTGGAGAACACTGTGTACTACAGTCAGGTCATATAAGGGTCACAGGCAAGGATAACATTGGTTGAGGATTGTCTTTGCCACATTTCATTTTATGCCGCTTGTGACTTGAATTTAGACTATTTGTGATGGACTTGCACTGGCACTTCTTCTGCATTCAGGAATCAGTCTCTGGTAGATTCTGTTAATTGAAAGTACCACCGAAAATAACAGATTTGAATTTAAAACTGTTAAACAAATCTGTGTGCCTCAACCTTTAGATTTAATAGCATGTTTATTTTCTTCTTTTTTTTTTAAATAGCCATTACCTTTTAAAGTTTTCTCTATGAAACCACCAGAATCTCTTGAAACCAAACGGTGCAGTAAACCAGTGTCATTGTCATCATGCTAAATGCAGAGTAAATGTATTGGAGCTGCACAACCCTTAAATAATAAGAATTCAGCAAAGATGGAGAGATTTTGGAAAATTTGGTGTATTTGGGTTTGATTAGCAGGGGAAGTTTCTTTTGCCACCCTTTCTGTAAATTGTATCTGGAACAAATCACCTTGAACCATTTCTAAGTTACATTCACGTGTAATTCTGACATCACTGTACTCACCAATTCTTTCTTTTCCTTCAGATGCATTGAAGATGTTTTTGATGTAATTGATCAGAAATATCACACAAGTAGTGTCATCAAGCCATGCGGATTTGTTCTGGCATGTGAGGGTAGGGTAGCAGTGGGTGACAGTATCTGTGGATTCACTGCATCTGATCTGAACCATGTCGAAATGCTGAAACGGTCCCGAACCATGGACATGATTGCAAACTGTGCTATGTCAGGGAAAACTCACATGCATGTTTTTATGTTGAATAGGGGAATTATGCCGTCATTAACCGAGTACTCCCATCACGTTTTAGCACTACTCTCACTGCAGCCTTGAGACACAAATCTTGGCACATGTAGAAGCACGCAGTCCCATGCGCCCCTCACAAACCACTAGTTTGGGTGGCACACAATACAGAAAGCTGCCATTGGAAGTGCAAATCCTGCTTTACAATTGGTGCTCAACAGGGAAAAAAGCTGCAATGTATTAGTAGGCATTGCCAAATAGCGTTCATCAGGCACTAAGCTAGATGCATTTGGTGGAATTTGGGATGGTTTTTAAGATTTGTAATGTTCCAAGTGCATTTTGTTTTGTGTGCACTTTCATTATATATCCAGTGACATTCATGATTGACTGTTGGGCAGCATTTGGGAGAAAATGACCGAAAGTAGCAAACATTTGGTGGCACACTATATTGTGGAACACCCAAAGACTAACGTGTAGTCTTAACACCAGAGAGGTTCATCCTTCATGGAGACACATAAAATGGCACATCAGATAAATCAGCTGTTTTGCACTGAACAGGGGACAAGATTGAGGCACCCACAAAACGAGATGCACCGGCATCGCCGGTTACCAACTCAGCAGACAACCAGCCAATAAAGAGATTATCACGGGGCAGCGTGGCGAAGAAAACCTCTCTTCAGTCATTCTCTGACTTGGTGCAACCACCTCCCCCAAACAAAACAAAAGGTTAGATTTTCAGCAATTTTCAGATCTCAACCCAATTTTAATGAGTACTGCAGAATAACGCTGTGAAACTTTATAATATGTTAAATATCAGATTCCCTCAGTAGGTCTATTCTCTTCTGTAGAATGCCAAAGGAGAATAGTTTCATGTAAATATTTGCTCAGAAAATTCTGGTATCTTGATTCATTTTACTTGAGTTAGTCTCACATATCAGTCATCTTTTTTTCCTGTATACCATGTTTTTGATAATCCTCAACCTTTTGGGCCATGATCAGATGAGGAAATGCCGTCAACTCCAGAATCGGAGTCTAAGCCTGATGAAGTGGCAGACGACAAAGAGGCGAAGGATGATAACGTGAAGGAAGAGGAGGTGTCAGAACGGACGGCAGAGGAGGCCACGCCCACAGAAGAGATCACCAAAGCAACAGAAGAAGAAGAGGTGGGTTTTGGGAACAGCAACTAGGTGATTGGATTTCTGGTAGAATCTGTTGAGTTTTTTAATTTTTTGTTACCCAGTAGAATTAAGAGTTCCAGTCAGTGGTGATTGTGAGTTGTAAGCCTGTTGTTACAATACTTATCAAGTCAGTGCAAACCTCCTGCGTACATGTATTCACCGTCTACCACTTTAATCAACACTTCACTTTCCTTTGTATTTGTCTCAGGAGTTAATGGACACCAACGACTACATTCTTGGGGAGTACGCCGTCCTGGAAAGAGAACAGAAGCAGATCGATGAGCGAGCCTCCACTGTGGAGAAATCACTTCGGAAAGCCATGGAGGATGGTAAGATAACATGGAAACTTGCCTCCACCGATCCGGAAAGCACCTTGGATTGGTGATTGTTCGATCTGATTGTTGCCATCAGTGCATTTGTGCACACATTAACAACCACAAATGTTTGGTCATCAATAAGTAGCATGAGTTCACGTAATGCACACCGAATACAGTGGAAGAGATTCCATCGTTCAAACCATAACATGCTTCCATGAATGTTATCTTGACTTTGGCTACAGATTTCTCCCATTCTATAAACCACTAAGTGCCCCCAAAATAAAGTGGAATTGCGACAAGGAAGTGGCAAAGTTAAGCTGATTCAAAGCACGTACTGATTTTTGCTTTCCAGGGAGAATTATATATATACGCAAGGAATACATGAACGTAAGATGCATGCGTGTCTGAGTGGATACACATGCATCCATGTTGTATGGTTTAGATTCAAAGAACATTGCTTAAATGCATTTTAAAACTAAGACCTTTGGAGACTGGGAACAAAGGGACCAGTTCACAGTTCAACTGTGCCAGGTGGTGTAGAGGAATTCTACTGGAAGAAGGATGTTAGACTTCATCAAAATGGCTGTATCCATGGAACAGGCACGGCAGGCAACTTGAGCTAATCGGGGCAGAATCCTGATAGCGCCAAATGTTGATCCCCCAGGTACGGATGACGAGGCCCAGCTGATGAACGAGTGGTTTGAGTTGGTGAACAAGAAGAACGCGCTCATCCGTCGGGAAGAACAGCTCAATGCCATGTAAGTTGCCATCTACATATGATCCACGCCAAAGCACCCCTTGCGCTGCTGTGTAGAAAAGATTGCTTAGCGAATTTACGTGCTGAGCAGAAATTAGCATGGGTCCAGTGGCTAGCAATACAAATCACTTGGTATTTGGGCCAGTAACTTGTCACCTTGCTAGGCAAACTCCTTTGTGTGTAGCATACTTTGCTCAGTAGATTCATGATATTATGTCGTGTCCTCCTAACACTAACAAAAGTAGCATCTACTCTGTTAGTGAGTAAACACTCCCTTTCAAATCATTTCGGAGAAGAACCTGCCTTTTCCCTCTTTTGTACATGATTGCACAATTTTGCTATTTTTTTTGCAAGCTTTAACCCAGAGAACTGAAACTACCTACAGCACGCCTGTATTATTTTTCCAATAATTTGAATTTTTCCAAGTATTAATAGTAGGTAGAATACTTTCGTTGGGGTTTCGGTGGTCATTCCCGCTAAGTTGCTTACATTTTAGATTAGATGCCAATTCAACATTGAACAACTAAAAAGTATGTTAGGAAGACAGCTAGCGCATGTGTGTTGGTAAAAAAAAAAAAAGGAAACTGACTTTTCGTGTTTTTTTTGTAAAGGCAATTTTAGTCTAACGAAGACCACAAGGACGCCTCAGTGATTATGTGGAAAGTTCATTGTGAAACATATTCAGTAAAACAAAATTGTATTCAAAACGTTCTTTCTAGAGCAGACTGCAAGATGTCTTGCTGCCTTCATTAAACTTGATTGAAGTGGTTTTACAAAAGCACTTCGTCTGATTATTTTGCAATTTCCGTCTTATTGTCCTTGACTTTCAGTCGGGCCCCATAAATACTCATATCCCAATTTGATAACAGTAAATGTGGTAATATTCAATTTTCAAGCCTCATGAATAGGGGCCCATTTCGCTTCAGGGCATTTGTCAACACACTCACACCACCACGAAGGAAAGGGGAAAAAAGGGACTTTGAAGTCTTGTAGCGATAGCAAGCCGCTGCCTTCTGAAAATGAAATGTCTCCGACATTGTTAGTGACTTTTTGTGCGCGGTTCAATTGAGATGGATTAGCGGTGTTGCCTCAATTGTCTGGCGAGTGAATGCAAAGCGGTGGTAGTACTTGGCAGGTCGTTGGGCACAGTAAGCTCAGCATGGGAGCCCATTGAGCGTTCCATCCCCCCTCCCCCCCTTTGGCTTGTAGCGGGGCTGTGCGGTATTGGCCCCTGAGTCCACCGGGGCCCTGTCTCAGCTGGAACTGCTGAGTGTGTAGGCTACGAAGCCCATATGGCGCTGACGAGATATCCCCCATGAAAGTCTGCAGTCGTTGGCAAATCAGTCCATCAAACCCTGCCCTCTCTGCTGACTTTTTGGTGTGGTGTGTTGGTGTGTGAATGTTCATGTTAGTGTTTTTGTTCTCTTAACAAACATGAACAGACATTGAAAACCTAACCCTCTTAGTGTTTTCAATGTACTTCTTACAATGAAATAGAACTTGATCAATCCATTGGTAGTTAAAGCCCAGCTGAAACCCAGAAAATGATCACAGCAAATCTCATCAAGTTAATTTTGTACTTCCTGGATTCTTTTGCTCCTTCACCCTCAGCTTTAATGTAACTGGCCATGTCTCCCCAAGAACAGAGTCCAAGTGGCCCGTGGAGAAATCTCCGTCAAAATTGACATAATTGCATAAGGGAGTCCCTCAAATTATTATTTCGTGGGGTTTTTCTCTCCAAGTCGTGATGTACTAGAGACCCTCTTAAATGCCTAGGCGCATCTAATCAAATTTGCATCTTTGTTTTATCTTGATGCGGTCTCTCCCCCAACCACCTAGGGAGAAGGAACATGACTTGGAGAGGAAATTTGAGATGCTGAATCGGGAGCTGAGGAAGATGATGGAGATTGAAGGTAAGGAGGGGAGAATGAGCTCCCTGGAAGGTTGGAGGGCGTGAAAGGAAGCGACGCAGTTCCTAAGAAACAGGCAGAGAAGTTTGCAAACTGCACTAAATAAATCTTGCGTGATGTCTGAGAGGAGTAGTGTTCAGAGAATGGACATTCCTAAAATTGTTTGTCTTGTATGCTGATTATTTGGAACAATTTTGTAAAGTATTTTGGGGGCTGGAAGAATCTCATGGTGGTATTGTCATCTCTTGGCAGATTGGCAGAAGACGGAAGAGGAGAGAAAACGGGAGCAGCTACTCCTGGAAGATCTGGTCATCCTGGTCAACAAGCGAGACGAACTGGTCCAGCAACTGGACGCTCAGGAGAGAGAGTGAGTAATTGAGTAGACTCATTCCAGCAGTTAACCAAAAAAAGAATTTGGAATTGAATTTATTATACTTCATAATTTAAGTATCAATAAGAGATAGCATGCTGTATATTATTATAATAATCACGGATTACTGTGGACACTCTACTGTGTAAGTCCTGGTGTTGTTTACCTCAGAATTTTACAAGTATACTTCAATAAGTGCTGTTCAAAGTTGTTCAGAGTTGGCAGCATTGAACTGGAATCAAAACTCGGTATTTATACCAATCAGGATCAGAAAGCATGAGTAAGTTTCAGTTTTAGTCATGCCTAGACTGTTTCACATGCCGCTTTGCTTCACTGCATTTCTGTCCCTTCTTCATTGTGCAAATGTGTTGATTACAGCAAGGATTGAACTTCTGATCAGGCTCACAAGGTCTGTCCAGAGAACAGATAAAGTGCATACCTGTTCTTCTCTCGGCCATGTGGTTTGATGATCCCGGACCAGTGGCGTATATTTTGTAACTGCCAAAAACAGACTGCAGAGTTTCTGCTGTCGTGAATGGTTTTTGTCCGGTGATTTTTCCCCTGTAGCTCCCCTCAGAGGTGAATACCCTAGCTTGCCAGTTGGAAGCAACCTCCTGTAAACCCCTCCGCTGAACTCGCTCGCTTTTCTTCTGCAACAATTTAGCTTGCCCCTGGGCTGTTATCCTGGCCCATTCAACCCCAGTGAAGTTAGCCGACTTTCTCTTGTCTATTTCATGGTGGGGTTGATAGCGATCTTTTTGTGTGGGATTCTTATGAAACAAGTTTTTTTTTTTTTTTTTCTAAGTTGTGGGGAATACAGGGCTTTTCATATTTTTTTCAATAATGCATTCTGGTAATAAATCAGTTTCTGTTTCTCTCTCACACACTTTGACAAATCTTGTGAGTGATGCGCCATTTGAAAATCTCCCATTACATATTTGATAGGAGTCCCAACGGCCCCTTAGTGACCTACTGTAGTCGTAGATTGCACTGCAATTTGGGGATTTTTTCCCTTCTTTTCCAGACAGCCAGGGCATCAATCATTTGGAAATCAAAAGGATGGGTAGAATGTGATTGCATGCCACAAATGGCAAAATGTCTGTCGAAGGGGAAGCATATTTACAGAATACCTTCCTGGCCTCCACCGTTGCTTGTCCAGCAGTCCTTAAGTCTTCCGTCCAATTTGAAGACAACAACGCTAATGAAAAGAGAGAGGGCCCTGGAAAAAAAAAAAAACAGACATGGGCCCCGGCCAGACGAAGGCATTTGTAAAAGTTTAATGAGGAGGATTAGGGGAGGCATATGAATTGTTAATGGTGGAGCACGAGCACAGCTCTGATTCTTATTATTTGGCCTTTGATGGGTACCGGTGTATCGGTGAAATAGTACACCAGGGAGGCATGTTATTACGGACTTAGTGCGTGCGCATGCTGGACGCAGGCTACCGACCTCCTTGTGTCAGCGCACATTATGGAAGGGAGCCAAGCTCCTCAGCTTGGTGCACCGTTGCCGGTTTACAGTCAAATTACAATAAATAGTTGATAGAGGGCTCCCGGATCAGATGTTCCAGAAAATGCCGAACCCATTAAAGCGTCAGAATAAAGTCCGGGGGACCTGCTTTGATTACGGAGAGCGGAGCAGAAATCCATTTGTTTCTCCTTAATTGCTGTTATCAGACATGATTCTAAGCCCCCGTGGCAGCATCATCAGGCTGCCATTCTTTTAAAAAAAAAAAGAGGAGATCAAAAGGTAAATATGTTTTTCCAACCATTCTGCTCTTCCTTATTCCCAGGGCTGAGGAGGAGGCAGAATACTTGGACAACATGCTGCAGAGAAGACGCAAACGAAAGGAGGAGAAGTGCTCCATACAGTAGCAACACAGAACTGCAGTGTGAGAAGTCAGGGTGCCAGGTCCCTTCTTGCGGGCAATGCAGACAATGCTTATAAGATTTGAGGATCTTTAGCATTCATTAATTATGGAATCTTGAAGTTGAGTGAATTTTGAAGTTCCCTGGTTAAGTTTCCCGGGGGTTGACTAGGTGCATGTTTAATGTTTCACCAACCCCAAAGCAACCATATAGGATCGTTTAGTTAAAGCCGCACTCAGATACAGAATAACAAGTACAGTGCGGTACAGAGTGGGTTAATTTGAGCAAGTCTACTGTCTCCTTCAAATTCCCATTGTAATAGTGACCAATTTGGCAACATTTTGGAGGGCATCGATTGAGAAGCAGCCAATTGGGACTTTGTTGCTGAGGAGGTGACATGTTCTTGACAACAACCCATGCTATAAAGAGGTGTGGGGGGGAGATGCTGACATTGGAGTGATTTCTAGGCATTTTCGTGGTTGGCCGCTCAGGCTGCCTCCTCCTTCGTTATTCTGGCTTTCAATCAACGCTCGTGTCTCACGCCTGGGCGCCCACTGTTTCCGCCCGGCCGACTGCTCCACTCGCTCAACGCATCATTAAAAGTATGGGGTTTTTTTTCTGGGTTTGTTTCTTTCTTTTCCTTTTTCTCTATCCCACATCGCAGGCACTTAGGGTTCGGCCTGGGATTTGTTATTCATGCAAATGTAAGGGCAGTATCTTGCTGAGTGGATCTGTTAAAAAACAGTATCATAACGCAGGATTTTGGTGGTTGATTTTTGAATAATGCACGCGTACTTCCTGTGTATCATTTGGGTGAATTCTCCATTGAGAATAGACAGGCCATTAAAGGCAAGGGAAATATTATCTCTTGTCCGAGCTCATTCACAAGGGTTTTTTCCCCTTCTTCCTCCTCTCACAACAATGACAAAATTCTATATATATTTCCATGACTTGTGATAGATTGGGGACCGTACAAATAGTTGTGCTTTGTTCAGAACGGTAAAAGTCAAGGCTTGGCCTGTGGAGACCGCTAGAATTTATTTTTTATTCGATGGTTAAGGGTTGCAGTGACACTGAATTTTTAGAAGTATGCTTTGGGCAAATCTGTGGATCATACTTGGGTGTGTTGGGGGTATTCTGTGACGTTTTGTGTGTCTTTATGGAGCTGGGATGTGTAGAGACTGACATGGATGTAAATGAGAGAAGTGAGCGGGGTGTTGGTTGTATTTTCTGGGTTGTAGCTCGTTAACCAGCAGCTTTGTTTAGGCTGACTGCTTTGGGTAAGGAACTTGATCGAGAAAAGCCATCTTTCCCTGGATGTAAAAGGAAGAGTTAGGGAGTGGCATTAATATTTGTATAGCAAGTAGGTACGCATTTTAGGACAACTTGTTTTGACTGAAGGGGTGGTTTGTTCATTGGTCATGGTTAAAGTGGGTTTACATCAACCACAATGTGATCGAAGACTATGTTCAGAGCCGTCAGGGTTGGGCGTAGTATGAAAGCAGAGCAGATTGGTGTGCCTCTTACTTTTCAAGTTCATTTTTGTTCGAAGCATTGCAATTGGTTTATAGTACTTTTACTATTGGCATAAATGAACCGATTTGATGTCGTGTGCGTGGTCGGTGGAGACCTGTAGAGAGCCTTATCAAACTAAATGTTGCCACCTCGGCCGAGGATCATGATTTGATACTGCTTATAGTTAGCCAGCCGTTCTTGCTCCCACGCTGCGGACTGTTTTTTCGTGCTGCACAGAGCCGGGAATCGGCGACTGTATCTCTCCTGATCCGCACTCCTTTGCCTGAATTATAAAAGTTCTGCCTTTTTTTCCCCAGCGAATGCCGGGGTTGCACCACTGTGACACCAAAGCAAACTTCAGTGCCTTTTATCTAATTAATGCACCCGTGACACTGGCTATAGCTATCACAAGAGGAGGAAAAATAAGTACGAAACAAGATAACGTTACGTAACCTGTATGAGCAATGTATAAATATGATATCGATCAGATATCTTCACGTGATTGACGGTTTGGCCAAGATATTTGTGTGTATGTATATATACATGTATATATAAAGTATCGTGTATGCAGATTTACACGTGCAACGTGTGTATTTACTATTGGGAAGCTGAGAAATGGTGATGTGTTATGAATAACCGTCTTCCTGTGAAATGAATGGAAAGAGGACGGCCAACCTTATAGATTAGCCGCAACTGGACAGGATGTATAAAATTGCTATGTATATACATGTACATGCAGCAGGAGAAAAAAAGGAAATAGGTTTTAAGCAACTCAAAGATTTACCGCAAATACTAAGTTAATTTGTAAATATATGTAATATGCAGGTCGATTTTTTTTGTGTTGGAACAAACTTCGGTTGCTTTTGTTGAATGGAATGTTCATTCCAAACGTCACAAGGTTGATAATGGCAATGTGTTGAACAACTGTACATTAACCCTGCATTATGCTAGGCCTATGTAGTATGCTAGTAAAGGGGAGTTAGCAAATTCACACTGTGCAGCGTAAATATAAAGTGGTTACATATAGGTTTTATTCGTTCACCATAGAAATATTCTTTCGGTGCAAGACTTTTTCCCAGAATTACCCATCAACTTAGAGCTGTACATAGGCCGACTAATTTGGGAAATGAAATTTACTTAATATCAAAAAATTAAGTGAACGAAGTTTTATTTCAAGCTCATCTAGGCAAAAGTATATTTTCTCGACCGACATCCCCTTTTGTCTTTCTGGCTAATGTTTATTGATGAGGTGGACGAATTATTTTGTTGATTCGTGAATCAATTTGAAATCTGACCACCAATTACTATTTTCATATGAACTTAGCAATGTAACAATTGCAAACTTTAGACCTTCAAAGTTACAGTAGTCAGCATTGCCCTTTTGCTACTCGTGAAATGTCGGTAGATTTTGAGATTATGTTCCGGTACATCGTTTATTTGGTTCTCTTTTAATTGATATTGTACTTTGTTTTGAGTGACCGGAAATTGTTTGGTTTGTAATGTATTATAAAGCGTTTATGTGTATAGAGTGCACTGCACGGAAAGTGTATTGAAAAAAAAATAAGTCAAAGGTTTGAGAAGACGCCCAGTACCGCTGCTCCGTGACGCGCGCTGCTTTATCGTGCAATGAAATTAATAAGTACCCGGGGTTATAATCTGCGGTCCTCTTGGAATTCCCGAGCGAGGAACACTTTGGGAAATAGGGGGAACTATAGGCTTGAGCCAAAAAAAAAAAAAAAAAGACTGCTTCATGTTGGGTGCATATACCCGGGATTGGTTTTGGCGCGGTATACGTCGGCCTGGACGGGGGGAAATTATATGCCCTGGCGGGGCTAGAGCAATCCTGCACCGGCAATTTTTCTAATTGTCCCCGCCATCACTTGGCATAATCACGCTGCCGTGATAGGATCCAAGTCGCTGTCTCTCCCATTGCTTCGTCCCCCCCCCTCCACTCGAGCCGAGTGTCAACCCTCCGTGAAAATTGTTGTTGCAGTGTTACAGCAGATGAAATTGCTCGGCATTGTTGATTAATCGTGTCGCTTTAAGACCCCTCACTCGGCCAGAATCAAATCAAATTTCGATTTGGGGGCGATCCAGGGGGACCGAGTCCCGCGTGCGCACCGCTTCACCGCGGCACGCTGCGATGAGGTACAGGTGTACCTTGTACAAGAGGAGCGGTGCTTCTCCGGATTTTTTTTTTTTTTTTGTCGAAGCGTCGCTTCAGTATCCGTATTAAAGGAGCTCATATTTCATGTATAGGGGTATAATCTTGCCGCAGTGAGTTTATCCCAAAGGGTGAAACTCTCTACATGTTCATCTTTATTTTCCTTTTTAGCCCTTTTTTTGTGCTAGACGACACGTCCGTGTGTCGGTATTGCCCGCCCCCTCCCCCAAAAAACACCAAGAAAGATGTGAGGTTATAGGTTCATCGTGTAAAGAATGAATTGTACTGATACGAAATAAAAAGAATGCAAGAGCATAGTTTAAAACGAAGAAATCGGCTCGGGTATAATTTATGTTGGTTTTAAAAGGATCGTCTTTCACGCATAGGCCTAATCTTTATTTTTGTGTCGCCTGTCAAGTCCCTGTCGTGTATTTTGTCCCCCTTGTTAGCATGTGGATATCTTTCGTTGCTATCTTCACACTATCGCGACTTGCTGTCATTCACTTGAATTGGAAAGTGCGTTCGGTCTTATACGCTTCAGGATAGTACATATGTCATCTTTTTTTATAGCTGTGCCTTGTTTTATACATTTCCGTCTCCCCTTTGCTATCTGGGTGTCGCCTCCGTCAAGATAAGGTATCAAGAGGGTTGGAGTATCTGGGAAAGTGGGGAGGAGCGCGGAGATGGAGCGCCGCGTGATAATCATCTTGGCGGTTCATTTTGCAGCCCAGCCGGCCGGGGCTGACTCGGCTCTCGCCGGCCGGCCAGCCGGGGTGTATAAGTACAAACGCCCCGGGGAAACGGGAAAGAAGGGAGCGGGCAGATACCCACACCGCGTTCCGCTGTCCGTGTCTTCCCCCCCGGTGCGCGTGTACGATCAGGGTAAAAAGGATGACGGGTCGGGTATATAGATGACAAGTTCCTGATTACGAGGTCTTGATCCACCGACCCCCCCCGTCCACTGTCGCAATCTGATGTCACAGAACGGGTGCTCACCTTCTGTTTCTTACAAACCACGACTCTAGCGAGAAACAGGAAAGGAGCACCTAGTACCTTGATGAAAATCCAATACATGCATAATGTAAAGCGTGATCCGTAACCCTATGCAGCAGTCAGTTCATTCGTGCACTTTCCCTTAGTACAATCTTGTGCAAGTATGACATGACGTATTAGGATCTCATGTAATGAAAGATGAAAACATCAGAACACCGGAACTTCCAAATCTCACGACACGGGCCTTTTGAAGCAGCCGATTCATTGCACCTGTGACACTTGATCAGCTCTCCGCGATACCAAGTTATATTCCTAATTTGCTATAAAAAAAAAAGTGGAATTTTTTTTTTTACTTTTGGGTCACTTTAGATATTCAAATAGATCTGGTAACAAACAGGCCGTGAAAGCTCATGACACGTAAGTACATGTACTTACAAATTATACCAAAATGTTGCTCGTTGTACGCATAAACAAGTTAAATTTCATTTCCTGCTTCAGCCGGCTCAAATCGTTGTGTTCAAAATGATACTGCTGCTGAGCATGCAGAACACATTAACAACAAATTGTTGTTTTTTAAAGCAAAGTTGAACAGCTTGTTTGTGAAATTTATGGGGATTTTGGCTGTTTTTTTTATACTATTTTCGATGTTGCATAGTTTGCCTACTATGTCAACCTAACGTAATCTGTATTTCTGCGAATACTCCGCACAAACCATGCCGGGAGAAGGAAAAACTGCTTCTGTGCTCCTTTCGCGTCTTTTACGGGTCTTGAGGATCGGTTACACAGACTTAGAACACGAGATTCCCTAATGCTCACTCGTGCATGTCAGGCAGTGAGCAAAGCCTCTCCGAGGGTATAGAACTGTCAGATTCGTCTTGGTTTTTTCATGGAGGGGAAAAAAACATGGAAAAACTAAACGAGCGCGCCACGAGAGCGCAAACCTACACCTTGGGCGTGAGAGACTTCACAATTCAATTTGTTAGATTGCGTATTTGATGAGGCAGTGTTTACGGTCTGCTGGAGTGCCGCGCACGCTTCTGATAGAGTGGACATCCCTGGGTTTTGCTCCCTTCTTTTTTTCTTTGAGTCCCTTGTCGGTGAATTACCCAGGGAGGAATGCCGAGCCCCGGCGTAGAAAAAGCCAATCCAAACAAAACGAAATCAATCCCAATCAATCACATTGGGTGAGTGATATTTGATTTGCGCGGCGGTTGCCCGCCACGTTCCCTCACGGGCCCGAGGATTAAGCAGGCACAACGGGCTGTGGGGAGACCGGGACACTCGCTTGACTTGGCTGGCGTGGCAGGTTCGGCTTCATTGCACGGGAGGGGGGATGCCAATGCACCCTTCATCGTCAACACCATAATCATCTTCTCGTATCGAGCAAGCGCTGGTACAGCTCACATCATCATCTTCAATCCCCCTTGTTAGTTGAGAGATCTCACACCAATTTCTCTCGTTATTTCTCGATTATCCGGTACTCCAGAAGTCGACAAGGCAAACATCCCGGCGGGCAAGCTGTGCCCAGTACATATACGCGGGGCCACCCGGGGGTTAGAGGGAGAACCTACCCGCTCGGTCGGCGCAGGGAGCTGGAAACGCCGCAGGATAGCTGCTCAATTGAGGGAGAGATTTAGGTGTTTTCAGAAAAGACCCGCGAAAGAGCTTTACACTGATTGTTTTGTTTTTTTGGCATGCTGAAGCAAGGGTTAATTTTTTTCGATATATTACTTGGCCTTTCGAAGAACCGAGATTCATCCAAAACACTAATAAAACTTGATAAATGAAATTTCTATAAAGAATTATACCTTTCATTTTGCTGTTTTTCTGCACTGTTTTATGTGACTTCTTTGTTTTCTTACTTTATTTGGAGGACTTTTTTCAGATGTTGTTAACATTAGGTTTTTTTACTATCCTTTGAATTTTGGTCAATTTCGATTAGTCAGTTTTGTTGTAACAGCTTTGCTTCTTCTTGAAACTCCTCGACTCATGACGTGGGACGCCGATGGTCTGTCCAAGGATGCGTCATCGTCGTCCAAGACCCGATCGCTCCTTTTTGCTCCCCTACTGTTCCAAGCGCCTAGGCGGCGATTTTAATACCTCGTAAATGCTGAGGGTGTGTGCTGCCAGTAGCCCGGAACGCGTTGGACGGGGGAAAACTCTGCAACCTGTCCCCGGCGCTTTGCTGGGTCAAGTGGAACTAATGTAATCGGTGATTAATCACTTTATGGCATAATTAAACCAGATTGAGTTATATCCTGCTTCTGCGGCGGCCTTTTGGCGATTCCCTCGACAGATAGGCTCCCGGAAGAAAGTGAAGGCTGTTGTATCGTTGCTTTGTAAAGGTTTTATGTTGCCCTTGGGTAAATATATGCTTTGGCATGACTTTGCTCCAGTCTTTTTGTTTGGTTTGGTTTTCTTGTTTTGTTTTTTGTTTTTTATATTTTGCTTTGTTGCTTCTTGTGTTTATTTTTGTTTGTTTCTGTCTGAATTCAGGCTTAAGCTTTTCAGAGATTGTTATCACCTAGGTGATATACACCATGTCATCTCAACCAACACGATAACAAACTGCTTTCTATTCAATTTCTAAAACTGAACTCATTGATCCAAATTGCATTTTTGGCTGTATGCATACCGTCTTTTCACCATCTCTCCTCTTGTTTGGTTTCCCCCTTCTCTTTTGACAGGTTCTGTATTAATACACACCTCATGTATTCATGGCAGTCATGTTTCCCCTTGAATACATTCCACGTTTTCGTTTCTAGACGACGACCAATCAAGTTTCGAGCGGGGCAAATTATAGTCTTTTGAAAACACCTGAAAACAGCTGACAGTGACAAAACGATTAAGATGTCAAAACCACTATGGCAGTCCCGTGTTTTTGTTTGTTCTTGCTGTTGCTGTTTTTTGTTGGTTTTTTTTCGAAACCGCATTGACGATATCAATGATTTGTTGTAGGAGACTTTTGAGCTGAAAGAACTTGGGCACAATGTGAAACTTATACGGTAAAAATGTGCTAAGAGTATAAACAAATTTCTAAACACTTTTTTGTTCCCACTTTTTAAACGTGTTTAACCGCGACATGTTTATTGCTACGCGTTCGGTTTAGAAATGTGTTTCAGAATGTGCTGAGCAGATTTCAAACAGCTAAACGTGAACCATGGAAAAGCGTTTAGCATTTAAACAAATTCCTGAACCCATTTCAGTAAACATGTCGTGTTTTAAACGTTTGGAAAGTGGGCACAAAAAGTGTTTAAATTCTAGATATTGTTTGTACCGGTAGTCGTCGGTAGATCAAGTTTTGATAACAATTTATCGTCAAGCGTGGTGACTGTAACAGTTTTTGCATAATGCATCCAGATTTTGTTGTCCGCAATACCAAACCGGGGGATGACATTGTACATCCTGGCGTTCTGATATCGAGCATTTTGTCCGATTGTGGTCATTACTTTTGGTACGCCAAGAGAGCCCTTCCCAGGACCGAAACCATTATTGAACTAACATTAATCATAACGTCAAACACGCGGTACAGCGCGGCACAATTAGCACCTGTTCTCTATTATGGAAACAATTGGACAATTAATCAAACACTTGGCGTCGATAACAGAAAAAAACACAATCGTGACTCCGCTGATTCCAGTGACTTCCATAGCTGCTGCATGTTGAGGCGAGTTTCTCTATTATTTTTTTCCTGTTATCGTGACTAGGGATTAAAATATCGGGATTGTCTAAAGTGTTAGCTGTGTGCGTTACGGATTAGCAGGGGTTGTATGTCGGGGTGTGGTGCCCCCACGCGTAGTGTCCGTTAAACATGTGCTGTTGAAATATTAATAACGCCGTGCATGACCAAGCATTATTGGACACGTTAAGACCACATGAACAAAACGCCTTTGTGGTGTGTGACCTGAATATTGATTTTTGATACTGTTTTCTTCCCAAAAAAAGTACAGGGAGGTACATTTGTGTTACTTCCTGAAAGTACGTGGTGCTTCGTTAAAGTATATCTGCCTTTTTACAATAACAGAGTTAAACGGGCTCTTGTTGGTGCAGTGCGAACCGTGAAAGTTAGAGAAATGTGATGGTGGAGAGATGCCTAACAGGTTTAGATGCTGCCTAGAGGTGATGCTGAACTTCCGGAACGGTTGTCTTCATGGGACGAGATGACTTTGTGAGGGGAAAGGAGGTCGTTCGTCATGAATACATTATATTTTCTGTTTAGATACGATTTAAAAAAACAACGTTCTGTTACTTGGTAATTGCTGGGATCGTTTTGCTGTTGATTATTCAAATTTGGCCCAAACATCTGATAATTAGCCTACCATAATTTGGAACCTAT